TTGGTTTGCTTTAAAGATCAATCATTACAAAAACTTCCAAAGAGCAAACCATCTCTATCACGAATAGAGCATTTCAGCTCTTGATGTGTTTAACCGGAAGCAGGCATGTTTGTCCGCTTTGGGTTTTGTATCACCAGGAAGGACAAATTTGATTTAGCAATTAGAGTTGTTTGGGCTTCTGTAGATATTTGAAGATGGGTAATTAGACTCAGATCAATTATGGAAATTGCTGATAACTTTGAAAACTTCAGTTCAAGGCTTTGAAGAAATTAGCTAGAAATTTCAAGGCGTAGAAATAAAGAGTGATGGACAAGATGGTATATGCTGTGTTGGCTAGATGGTGTAGAGTACAGAGCAATTACATCGATGGCCTGCAAAATCGGCTCAAATGGAGAAAAGTCATATTTCCAGGATGGTAATAGATTTCTTCTAGCTTGTCTCTGAAGTATGATTTGAGGGAAAGTGAGGCTGAGGTGGTGGGATCTCACTGGTTCCTGTTGTTGATTTTGGAGAAGTGAGAAAACGTTCCCCCTTATAGAAAAAAAAATCTGTCATTAAGAACTTCTTATTACATTTCTTGTTTTGTTTTAGAGACATGCACAGAAATCTGAAGGCTTAGCCCGTGGGCCTCGGTGGTACAGCCAGGCTCCACTTGCTACCTGTGGTGGTGGCAGCCACATCCCCCTTGCTTGGTTCCTGATGAGCTCTGCTCAGGCTTTGCACCCAGTAAAAGTCTGTAGTTGCAAAGGAAGGTTGACCTTTGCTGAAAGAATCAAAGGATCTGGAATAGGGCAAGTCTCTGCTGTAGCCATTTAAATACTGGAGTTTTTGAAATATGCACTTTCTGGGCTTCAGATATTAACACACTTATTTGGGATGAATTCCACCTTTCTCTGTAGTGCTGGAGCCATCTTGCAGAGGACAGAACAATAAGCATGGATGTATCATGCTTTCTGTGTGGCTGGCCTAGTGGCAGATAGATGATGTCAGCTTGAGTCTCCATGTTCTTAGTAGGTGGCTCACTTAGTGCTTCTGAAGAGGGGGGGGGAAGTGCTTCGGAGCCAAGCGGGGCATTGCTACCCTCTTCCCAAATGCAATGCTTTTATAGCAAGACTGACTTATTTACTCTAATGGGGAACCATTTCTACATTTAATGAGCCAGTGACCTCAGGGAAGACGCTTGACTTCTCTGAGATTTGTTTTGATCACTTGTAAACCAGGAATAAAAATACCTACCCCTGGTTAATTCTGAGTGCCAAAAGAGAAAATGTGTGTGACAGTGTGCTGAACTGTATGATGTATCACGTATGAAGAGTCTATTTTATTATTAAATATGATGGAGCTTGCTGCCCATAGGTTATTTATGTGCATGAGGAAGAGCTGCAAATCCTAATGCTGCTGCAGTGGATAATCTCATACGTGCAAATAATCCACAATGTCCAAGGATCTCCTGGCACTTCCTTGCCTATTATTCCATTCTGATGTTTCACTAAAGCTCCAGATCATCTTTCAGTAATTCTTCTGCAACAGCATTTGTGTGTGTGAACACTTGTGCACACATACATCTGAATTCCAGTAGCACTCTTCATGACCTGGTGAGGTCTTCGTTAGAATTGAAAGAGGCAACGTGTATTTTCTTTATTCTAAAATATTTTTTAAAACAGTCAATTGAGGTATTTCAATAGAGAGGAGATTATCGGAAATAGCCATGTGATTACTGGGTGAACTATCTTTTTGGAGAAGGCATCAGGTTAGCTAACTTCTCAGAATGGAGTTTGTGTAATGGATCTAGTTGCTTTGAGTCTACCTGCAGGTGACTGCCTCAAATCGATCAGTATTTGTAGGTATAAGCGTACGTGCATACATTATATTACTGCCTTGTTCCAGAGAGGATTTAAAACTGCTTGCAAAGATACATAAAATATATGCTATTTCAAAGAAAACAGGTGAGAAAAAGTTAGGCAAGAGAGAAAATATAGGGAATTCACCGAGGGCCGAATTCCCCTGGTGATTAAGTTCGGGTCATTTTCTCTAGCCCATCTCTTTTTTTATTTTAAAGTATGTAGGTGGAGCTGCCAGTGGGACGTCCCTAGGGCCACTGAGCCACCTCGAGTGTAATCCTAATACTCGTGCTCACTGCACAGAAACACGAATTAGCACAGTGCAGTTGACTCCTACCAAGTCCAGAGAGACTGCCAGCTAAGGGGAGCTGGGGCAAGCAAATACTCCTTTTTTAAGTTTGGATCATTTTAAGGAAAAGGAACGGGGCTGAACCGAGCTCTTTCCCCGGCACGACAGGTAGATGTTGCGGACACCAGGTCGTCGTGGACCCCGCTCATGAGAGTGTCCGCGGTGTCGGGAAATCAGCGGGTGGCCTCCCTGCTCATCGAGGCCGGGGCCAACGTGAACATGAAGGATAAAGACGGAAAGACGCCGCTCATGGTATGCCCTCTCCGGACTAGCCCGGCCGTGTGTGTGGGATCGAGGTCAGAGCTTATTCTACAGCTAGAGAACCCTCGTGAGCTCAGCCCCACGCGAGCCCTGGGTTTTGATTGTGTGTGGGTTCCCTGTCGCCCGCCAATAAAGACAGGAGAATGTCACTATGCGATATACACAGGCGCACACACACACACACACACACACACGTCTATATGTTATTTTAAACAACCATTTCTTTAATGATTACCAACCCTCCTACCCAGGGCCATTCTGGGATCGCAACAGATGTGGCGAAACAAAGAGCACGCTGCTTTCGGTGCTGGTCTGGCCCCCCATTTCTCCCGTCGTCGTGTGTGGGGAGAGGGACGTTGCGTTTCCGTTTTCCTGCAGCTGCTGCTGCTGCAGAGCGAGCACAGTGCAGGCCTGCAAGGCTTGTGCGACGCAAAGCCACGGCGGCCCTGGCAGCCCGGCCCATTTGAAGATGCTGCCGGTGGACTGACAGGACCCTGTGGGTGCCAGGCTCGCCCCCCACCCCCAGCCCTGTCCCCCTCGGGAGGGGACAGTTCATGCACACTGCACCGATGTTTGTTTTCTAGGTGGCCGTGTTAAATAATCACGAAGCGTTAGTTCAGTTACTTCTCGACAATGGGGCAGATGCAAGTGTGAAAAACGAGGTAAGTGACTCAGTTTTTTATCTTAAAGGTTTCTCTTGCAGGGGAAGAAAGAGCATATATGTACACGTTTATATAAAATATAATTTTTATTGTTTCTTCTTCCAGTTCGGCAAAAGCGTCCTAGAAATGGCCAGAGTTTTTGACAGACAGGTTGGCATGTTCTTTCCGCCCACCACGGCTGATTTTGTAGCACTGTTAAAATTGGAAAAGCCACCAAAGCCTTGGATTATATTCACCTATGTGTTCTGTTTGTTCAGAATGTAGTCTCCTTGTTAGAAGAAAGGAGAAAAAGCAAATGCCAAAGAAATCTTCTGCCCACTGACCAGAGCACCACTAATCTTGCAGAGCCCACGTAAAACGAAGCAAAATCCGCCTGTCGAACTGGAGAGATGAAGTCCTGCATCTTTGATGGCCGCGCATTTATTTATTTAGTTGGAGATTCACGGTGACTTGTTTTGTAACACACAACTGTTCCCACTTTAAAATACAATCTTTTTACCTAAGCACGTGTGTACCCGGTGTCATCACTGGGCGTCTGGAGAAATGGGGATGTTTTCTTGCACTTGTGCCTTTTGGAGTTACACATGAAACAAAATATTTATGCACCGGAGCTACACAAACATACATGGGACCCCCACTCCCGGCTCCTGCCCCCTTAAGCTGTGCTCCGAGCCACTCCAGGCCCTTGTCGGAATTCTTTGCCCCATATGTTTTCAATTAGAGCCTCCCTTCCCAACGTAAGGCCTTCCAGGCTACTGCTCCCTCCTGGAGTGGCGCTCCTCCCAAAAGCCCAGGAGTTTTCTCCTCCGCTGTTGGCCTCACATCAAAGCTCCAAATACATATTTCAAGACTCTGATTCTGTTCTATAAGAGGTGTCTGGTTGAGGGTCAGTGTTCTCAGAGCAGACCTGTCTGCGAATGTGTTTGCATACGCTCACGCCCTGACGATGAGAGACCCAGCCTGCTGGCTGCTGGACAGCTTTGCCAAAGAGCAGTATATTAAGTTTAGTCTTCAGAGCAGAAGGGTTTTTGATGCTGATCACGCAGTTCCTAGACAAGTAGGAATTAACAGCAACCAAGTCTGCTGGTTGGGAGCTTAAAGACACAAATGTGGTGGAGCTTTAGTTCCAAAACACACCTCAAAGTTAGCGAAGAAGTTAGCTGGCAGACCACATGCAATTTTCCTCTCCAGAGACAGCTGGTTAACTCAGCCCCATGAGAAAACCAGCTACAAAGGTCTGCATAGGAGTGGAATTTTCTCTGTGGGAAAAGACCAATAAAAGGTAATTAAATCTCCAAAGAATTTGTGGAAGAGAAATAGAGGAAAAGCACACAGTCAATCTTATGATGTTGGCAATCCTCAGCTTTATTCCATATAGAATATTCACCTTAAGAATTGGATATGTGGGCCATATGTAGTCCTGTCCTTAGATGCTAAGTGTTTTATGTTTTGCACAAATGCATATTCCTTTAGATTTGCTAGGTCTCTAAAAATCAGAGCATATTGACAATTTTCCAAAGCTTGCTCCTTTTTTTTTTGTGATCAATTTAATGTTCACTTAAGTTTTATTTTTTGGTCTGTTGTAGATTATTTTCACTAGCCCTTCTGTGGAGTGCACATTCCACGCTACTTTTTGTTGACATCAAGCTTGGCAATATTGTCCACCCTCCTGACTTAATATAGTCCTGAGATAATCTGATGGGCTTATGCTGGACCTCATGTGCTATATATATTTGCTCTTTCTCTTCCTGCTTACTGAGATGAGAAAGGTGGTTTATATGCTGTTCTAATTTTCCTAAAGAGCAACTCATGGTTTCATTAGTCCTATTTTTTTTCTAATTTCCACTTTTTATTTCTACAAATTCATTTCTTCTATTTTCCCTCAAGTTATAAAAGGAACAAAATATATCGTTTAATGGTAGATGTTAAATTCATTCATTTTCATCTTTTTCATTGACACATATTTTTAGGGCTATGATTTTTCCCCTCAGTGCTGCTTTAGTTGTGTTACCAGAGAAAGTTTTCTAAACTTTTCTGAAGATTCAATTGGGAGTACTTGCTAAATACAAATTTCTTGACCCAATCTCAGACCCTCTGAATTGGAATCTCCAGGGAAAGGGCATGAGCCATAGATTTCTTAACAAGTATCACAAGTGAGTTCCTATAATTCAAGGAGTTTGAGAAACACTGCCATAGCATGTGATATTACAAACGTTTTTATTTGCTATTTTCTAGATAATCTGCAATTCATCTTTGACTATTTTTAGAACACAGAATCATTTTTTGGGAACTACTTTTTTCCTTCTCAGAGACACTTGGAAAGAAGGTATGTTATGTTTAGAGTATCTTATTTGACATACATGTACATTTGCCATGGGTGAGAGTGGTAAGAATAAAAACCCTTTTATTTTTGTCATTTTTCTTTGTATGTTCTGCAGATCTTTATGAAGTTGGATAATATTACACCTGGATTTTCATTTGAGTTGAGTCTGCTGTTTACTTTCTTTTTGAATTATGTAAATAAGGAGAGTTTAAATATGGTGATAGGTTATACATTCACGTTGTTCAAAAAAGTACCAGGTCTCCCCTCCCCCTATGATGTGTTGAACATCTTCCCTCCCTGTCCCAGACCTGAGGATCGGTAGCATGTTCCCCTGACCACCCTGCAACCATTCTTTTTAATTTCTTATGTACTGTTCCGAAATCCCCTTATGCATCTGTAAGTGAATGAGGACATAGATACATTTTTCTACATGAGCACTCTCCCCTCTATTTTTGTAACATTTTCGGTAATAAACGAGACACGTCTTTATATTTACCTGTATAGCATTTATTGCATACAATATTCTTAACAATAACTTTTTCTACTGAAATAGCAGGTTGTGTTTACCTGTCGAACCCCAGTATGAGAAACGTGTACAAAAGGGACAGACTGTAACATAAAAAGGTATGTGAAAACATGAGCAAACCAAAGCATTATAAGTGGATGAAGCACTATACAAGTTCTGTGCTGGTTGACGTAGCTGTAATTTTAGTCTGTATACTGTGCTAAACAGCCTGTAGCCAAGTCTTAGAGTTATACTGACAGTTGCCACATACTTTCAAAGAACGGGCCTTCCCTACGACCTACCAATTTGACCTAACAGAAGGGACAATAGAACTATTAGCTCTGCCACTACTTCCTTGGAGTCTTAAGTTTTTTCTGCTTTTCCTGCCACTGCCCTACATAGGTACCTACCTGCTCATAGGCCATGAACATCAAATGTCATTCAACTATTTTATAAAACTAAATCATGTGATTTTTTTTTTTTGGTCTGGATTTAAAATGTGCTAAATTAACTAAAGTTACTTTATAGGAAATTCACAGGGAAAATAGGACATGTTTTTTGAAGATGATATGGAAAATCAGGGTGGGTTACTGGGCATTCAACCTGGAAGACTCAAATGACTTGAAATTGAGATTTTAATTGTGCGTTAAATCTTCTATCACTATCTGTTACTGAATATTTTAACAGTTTTACACACAGTGTTTCTTTTCCTAGTTTTTCTCATGTGAAACAAGCTTGTAAGGGCTGGACTCTATGCTAGTAAAGGCAGGGAAACGGCATACTCGCGTGCAGGTACATGGCTTCCAGAACCATCCTCACTGCACAGAAATGGTTCCTGGCATGGGGCTCAACAATCTTTCTTAGAGCATTACTTGTTTCACTATCAGTTTTCAAATAGGTTTGAAACAGTGGATGTCCATAGGAACTTCTGGAATGAGTCAGGAGAGTTCTGCAATCACAGAAAAGCTGGGCTTCTAGGGCCAGCCCCCCTTTTAATCAGAACAAGGCATCAGGCGGGAGGCGACTGCGGGTCCATGTGCCTGTGGGAGGGGCTGCCCTGAGCATCTCCTAGGTGGATCTTGCAGGGGCAGCCACCCGGTGGCAGTAGTCGCACTTTGGCTGATCCGAAGTAGCAACAAAAGTTAGAGATCTGACTGTCGGAGAGGCATCAGTCTGGGGTTTGGCCTGAGAAAGGGCCTGTGTCTGGAGACACGTGAGCCTCTGGCTTCTTGAGTCCAGAGGTGTCACGGGCCTGCCGCTGAGTTGCAGGGGTACCTGCAGCAGCCTCGAGCTGGCTCCCAGCATGGGTGGGAGGAGAAAGGGGGTGGTGTCTGCAGCGTCGCCCACCAGCCAGTCACAGCGCGGGAAACTCCCAGCCTGAGAGTCTCAGGATGGGACAGGGGTTGGGAAACTTCTGGGAGGGTTGGTGCGACTGTCATCTGGGGTCACTTGTATCTGGCTGGGGCCATTTCGAGAGCAGTGAGGGAGGATCTCCAGACCACGTCTGCTGTGGACTTTCTGCTCCCAGAACACCTCGGGGGGAGCCCTACCCTGCACAGTCTTGAAATGAGGAAGGACTGCAAGAGGTCGGGGTGCATCGGAAAGACCCGGCCGGGCTGCCCAGGCACCGCGACGGGCCCTCTCGGTTGTCGGGGGTCTGGTTGGCTCAGAGTGCTCAGTAAACATCAGGGGTGGCAGGAGGGTGCTGGGGCATTCCAGCTGGCCCAGGCACCAGGCTCCCTTTTAGCACCACGGGAGAGCACAGGCTCCCAGGAATATCCTGACACGGATCAGAGTTTGAGCGGTTTTTCTTTTAGGAGCTGCACTGACGTGTTGTATTGATTTGCCGGGGAACAATGGCTTATGGTTTTCGGCCTGAGAATTCCTCATAAAGTTAAGAAGGCATAAAAATGTCCCCTCTGAGACCAGTCAGGAGTATTCATTCTCGTATAGTTTAATCTGTTGCTTTTGTGGTTTCTGTGATGTCATCCCACATGTGTAAGCCGGAAAAACTCACACTGGGAAGGGGTAACCTCCGTGTGCACATTTGGACAATGGAAAATGTTATGCGTTGTTTCTCATGGTTGCTACACGTCTGATTTCATGTGTCAGGAAAACAAACTGTTAAAAAAAATTTCAGGAGATATACTTTTAAATGGAATTGCCTGGAACTCATAAAGTGGGATCATATAACCTACAACTATAATAAGACGTAGGAGGAAAAGTAACTAGCCTCTGGACCTGCTTTGTGTCTGGTCACATTGGCTGTCCCAGTGATGGTCTCATACAACTCAAACCAACTCTATTCGTGCCTATAAAATTAAAAAAAATATTAGATTGCCATTGACATACAAGTATTGTTTTTTGTTTCCATCATAAAAAGAGAGTGGAATACCTTCCATTCTCCTCCTCCCCTCCCCCCAAAAAACCACCCTGGTTATTAGTTCCTTTCCTAAATTATATTAAAATGGAAATCATTGCTAAATATGCTTCATTTGATAAATATTGCATCTTAGAGATATTATTCCTTTCATAATATCTATATTGTAAGGGAGTATTGGTTTTAAATATGGTCTTATTCAGAAATAAGTTGCATGGCTCTATAAAGCAAATGAGTACTGTAGAGATAGGAATGTGTCACCAGCCACAAGCCCCTAAGTGGTCACTGATGACATGGCGTAAGATCACAGTTTTAACCTCCTCTAATACAAACTCTTCCTGGCTCCCTGAAACAGAAGCACAGGAATTATAGCTAAGAAAGAAGAAAAAAAGAAAAATCAGTTCATATCCTCTTACTCACAATAGGAGGAGGGGCTGAAATGCCAGATGGAAGGATTCGGACATCTATAAAGACAATGTCCACATAATGCACCATAAAATTCTGTAAACCTTTTCAATAGTATGTTTTGGCCTTAATACAATTACCAAATGTAATATCAATTACAGTAATTCTGTATGTATCTCAGCAGTAATATTTTCTAGCATGGCTTTACAGTTTTAAGAAAATGATTACATAGTAAACAGATGCATGCTGTAGGAGTTGGAATGTATTAGAGCTGGGGTCCCTTTTGTGTGTGTGTGACATGAATTTACTTAGTTTATCCATAGTCATGTAATACTATGTTGCCTAGATACAGTGGAGAACATGGGGAGAGTTAAATGCAGTTTTGTTTTCTGGAAGGCAAACCAAGATTCTTGGTCCATATTTTTCTTTCTGCTTCAAGGCATAGGAAAACCGTTGAAATGACCCCAAAAGAAGTCCTTAGCACAAAATGCTCAGCGTGAATTATGGAACAGCTGCCAATTGTCTTCTAATGTGAAAAGCCAGTCATACACAACCCCAATAGAAGACAGTAAGAGGCATGATGGCATAGTCCTTATCTGAGTACTTTTGTGCTTTTTGTGCCATTAGATGTAGGCATCTTAAAGATATTCCTGTGAAAATGGACCCCCCAGTCAGCATTTCATGAATATTTAGGATTAGGAAATTGATTTCCTTATCATATTCTGTGATGCTCAACAGGTAGGTTGCAAGTGTTTAAGAAACAGATTGCAACTCTGTTAAAAACATGTTCTTAAGATTCCTGCAGCCAAGCTGGGAAAATCGGATGCCCCAAAGTGAACTTGGTGTAGTGACTTACGGTTCTTTGTTCAATACATATGTTAATAGGGACAGCAGACATAAGCTGTACCAAGGAACATAGCATACCATTTGGTTGTAAATTTTTGCAGGCATAGGGATTCTGCCTATTTTTTTAAATAAGTCGAACCTTGCGGTAAAAGGAGATTTCTATTTACAGAATTGACTGACTAGATCTGGTTCACATCTGAAAATGGTTATGGTCCCACGGAAAGCTTCACCTGTCTGTCTGAATGCAGGATGGTTGCATCACAGTGGAGAAGACAACTAGGTGACACAGCACAGGGAGGTGGAGGGTTGCGGTGCCTGGGCAGGAGCTCCCTTGTGGAAACGCCACCTTTCCCAATCTGAACACGTGCTGATGCCAGCACTCTGGAGAGGGCAGCCAGAGAAAGGAGAGCTTGGTGTTTCTATGAAGTAAAACCTTGAGCAACACTCCAGCTCACTTCTCTGCCTTCCCCCCATCCACCGTGCTCAAGGCTGGTGGCTCCGGGTCAAGTCCCTGCTCGCCTGCTGTTCCAGCCTCCGACCTGGTGCGGCCGCATCTTAAAATTCCTGTCTGCCCTTCAGGTTCTCTGCAAAGCTTCCTGGGCAGAAACCAGATTTTTCCCTACTGGCTGCTCCACGCTTCAAGGTGCAACCCCCGGGGCTCTGCCTGCCAGCTGTGAAGGGACCCAGGGCCTCCCTGAAAGCCAAGCACAGCCTGGGCCTAAAGCCCCTCGGCTCTGGCCTCAGACGGGGATTCCAGAAAAATTCACTGGCCATTCTGCCTCTGGGGGCTCTCGAGCTGTGTCTGGTACCTTAACCACAGGCCACGGGTAGGTGGGGAACCGCTTTCCAATAAAGCCTTGATCAGAAAGTAAACATCCTGTCCAGAATCCCCCCAAGCAGGGTATTTCAAGTTCACTCAAACATTAAAAGCACAAGCCTTCCTTCCATGGAAAACTCAGTGATGGTAAAAATGCCTACTACAGCACACTGCACCGTAATAAACATTCTGCATAAATTAATAATTTACAAGTACCTGAGCAAGTATACAGAGCACCATAGCATAGCACAGCACCGACGGCAGTAGCTCAAAGTTCTTAAAGTAATGGTGTTTTAAACAAAGTTGGTACAAAAAAAAAAATAACTCCAACCGGAGTTGAAAGATAGTGCAAACTTCTGTCTTCACTGTTGAAAAAGGTGTCGGCTTCTCACTTAATATAGGCGGTGTGGGCGGATCTGGGCACTTGGTGTGGATATTTAGGAGCAGGTCTGAGTTGGGAGGAGAAAATAAAAGTATAGTTAGAGGTCTTGAGCGGGCTTCGTTGGAGATGTCCTCCTGCACGCTGAGCGTGTCCTGCACACTGGGGGCCAGAGCCCACTCTTGTGGCAGGCGTTGCAGATCACACAAGGGACCTTGCTCAGGGCTGCGGGATACCCAGTGGTGTAGGACGGGCTCTCCAAAACCACACATCCCGTCCCCAGGTCGACTCTAGGACAGTGCTGTCCATTGGGAAAAAAACTGAGCCACATACGAAATTTTCTAGTGGGCCACAGGAAAAAAGTAAAAAGATGAAATCAATTTTAGCAGTATGGTTCTCTTAACCCAATGTGTCTAGAAGAGTAGTATGTCAACATGTCACCAATAAAGAAAAATTTGATAGTTGACATTTCTTGGGTATACTAGGTCCTCAAAATCCAGCGTGGCAGTGGCAGTTACAGTGTGTGCTGACTTTGCCCAGCTCCCACGTGCCTGGTGGCCCCTGCGTTGTACAGCACAGCTCTAGAGAACAAGCAGGCACAGGGCACCCCTCAAAAAAGAACAGGACAGGGACAAAGCCAGCAGTGGTGTCAGCACCTGGCAGAGAGGCAAGACGGGCCACTGCTTGAGGACATTTAAAAGAAAAGGGGGCCTTTCCCTCATCACATCCATGTAAAGTATTGTCTTTTCTTCAAAAAGAACAAGAAAAGTAACCTTAAGATCAACATAGAAACCACAATGAAATAATTAGGATGCTATGCAATTTTTCTGTATTTATACAGTCGGGAATTAAACCCTGGCCCTGACCCTTTGACCGGCTTTATCTCTGAGATTTATTAGGCAGCTATTTCTTTCGCAGGCCAAGCATTCTTCCCAAGAGCTGTAATGAAATCATGACACTGTATCTTCCCCTTCAGAGATACTGAGTTACTGAACCCGGGGCCTGGCCGACACGATGCCTTCGGTTCTTCTGAGCTCACAGAGCAAGCGTCCTGCCAGGAGGGCACGTGAGTCAGAAAAGTGCTTTGGCTGCAGGTTTAACTCATCTGTGTGCAGGTAAGTGTTTAACAATCCGCTGGGGGGGAAGGAGGAGAGACTGATGTGTAATGTTTGCTAATTTCCATGGTGTAAATACTCCCAACACGGCTGATTTCGAGCTACCACTGTGACGTCCACTGAACGTGGAAGATATGAAAACAGCCACACGACGTGGGTTTTCTGCCACGTGGAAGAAACAGATGCAGGCAACCTCGAGCATAGGTAATTACAGCGGAATGTAGTGAAAAATTTGGAAAGGGTAAGTTTTGAGCATTTGCTGCCTTTTTGTTTATAGAAACTTACAATGATATAAATTATAATCCAATGGCTACGTTGAACACCAGCTTTCAAAATTCCTGGAAACGTGATAGCTCTGGCCAACCAGTGTGAGCCAGCGCTGGGCTGAGCCCCCTGCACGAGGCAGGGTTTGGGTCTCTGCCCTCCTAGTCGGCCACAGCAGCAGAAGTCTTGAAGGGTGATGCCCTTGTCATTTGTGTAAAGCAGCTCAGTTATCCCAGGGTCCCACCGCCCAGCAGCACCTTGGCCTTCCTGCCCTTGGTCCCCTTGTTTCACCTATGACCCTGAGGTCTCAGGAGCCCGGGGATGAGGCCGAGGCTGCGTGAGGGTTTTGGAGGTGAGCATACAGGCTAGCCCCCTCCTTTGTGTCTGTCTAGCTCTACCTCGTCTTGGTGACAGCTACGTCGTGACGCCTGTGCTGATGAGCTCATGCTGACTGCTTCCTCCCTGGTTGTCTCTGTGTCTATCTGCTAGTGTTGCTGGTTATGGCCCAGGCTACCACACCGTGCCCTGGCTGGCGGTGGTTCGGCCGCCCCACAACAGAGAGAGACACACACATACACACAGACACGGCCGCGTGTCCTGCTGCGCTATACCAACCTGAGGGGTGCCAGGTGGAGCCCGGGCTCCTGCTGGCCCAGGGTCCTCCCCGGGGCGCTGCCGAACTGCGACGTCCTGCCGAAAGGGCCTGCAGGCAGAGGCTTCTGAGGAGGGTTTGGCTTTCGGGTTCCCTGTGAGAAACACAAGATTACCCCCATCACTCCTCTCCTCTGGAGGCAGCAGGGTCCCTGGGCACTGGGACAGGCGGGCCACTCCTCGGCACAGGCGTCATTTTCTGAACGTTATCCTTTTGTCAACCCCCACCCCGTTGTATGATCTCTGTTAACCTTCTTTCCAAAGGTCTCTCTAACACGCAAAGACTTTTCCACAGGAGCACGCTACAAACGCCGCAACGTGGGTTTTCCCGGCCCGTGCCGTGCCGTGGGCGTGGGGTTTCCTGGCCAGGCCAACCCTACCAGCGCATGATACCTCTCCCGGGCCTGGAGGCTGCTCTTCAGTTTGGGGGGGCCTAAAACGAGAAGTCGGTGAAAGTCTTCTCACGCCTCACATTCTTGCACCGGGCCGGGGCGCGTAGCAGGACCCGCGCAACCGCAAGTCGGAGGAGGAGCCTCCGCGCGCACGTGCTGGGCGAGCCGAACGCCGACTCACGCTGCACAGGGAGAGGCGCTCAAGTTCTTTCACCAAAACACTTTAACGATTCAAAGAATCGACACAGGGGTTTCAGGGACAAGTGAAAGGAGGGCATTCCACTCCGGGTTTTGTCCAAAGGCCATGCTTCAGCCTTGCACGAGCCACTCGACCGCCCCAATCCTTGTTTTCCTCCTCTGGAAAACGGGAAATGAAACCCCTCTCCTAGCATGGCTATGAAGACTACATAAAACAACGCGTAGGAGATTCTCAGCACAGAGATGATACCAGCGTTGCCACATGTCACAAATTTTATAATGCTTAATAGAAACACAAGGGAAAACCAGAAAAGTAAACTCAAAGCTACGTGTTTTCAGGGGGGCCCTCCCGTGGCTACCCCTGAGGGTGGGGTTCATTGGAGCTGGGTGCAGAAGTCGGTGCGTGTCAGGCCTGGCTCCCTGCTCTTGGGCCCAGGCGAGTATGGGTGCCAAGACGCCTCCTGCTCTGGGCCTTGAAGCCTAGCGGCACTCATGGATGCCCACAAAGTCTGTAGGAAACGGTGCTAGAACCTCAAAGGAGACAACATCCTAATAATCAAATGATCTAACTCACTGTCATAGCACTCAGTGTTCCATACAATTTTGAGAAACACTCAAAAATGACTTTAAAACACTTGAGTTGAATTTCTCACTGTGCTGCTCACACTAAAAGTACATTTACTCAGCACGTGGAGCTCAATCGAAAGAATGCAATAGTCTAATCACCATTTACTGTATCTTTGTAGAGTACAGGAAGCTCTAACAGAAGTTTGTCAACCACAGCTGTGCGGAAAACAAGCCAAGTTGGAATGGTGGAGAGACTGGGCTGAGAAGGGGCCACTGAACAAGGGACAGGTTTAAAGCGACACTTCAATATTTTCATTAGAACATTAGCAGGATGTAGAATATAAAATAGAACAAATTCCCTAGCTAGGAATAAAGACCGTATAACGTGACTGAGAGTACGGGCTTTTTGTAAATTACTAGTTCTATAAGTGTATGCAGTTTCCTTGTTGGTAGAGAGGTAATAGTCCCTCCCTTCATGGTTGGGGGTTGAGGATTTAAGTGAGATATTCAAGCTCTTACCATGCCTGGCATGCAGGAACCGGTGAGTAAGTGTTTGCTGCTGCTATACTACAACCATCAATGCTGGAGTGAATTTATCGAAGAGCACCATAACCCTACCAACAAATTTTGGGTAATAAACTAAGGCAACAAATCAACTTCCATCTCCTATAAGGTAGCAGAAAGCTATGAGCAAGATATTAGTGTGTAATGTAAAAATGAATGCATACACTCATAAAATTGAAAGACTTTGGGAATTAAATAATTACTGATACTAGTTTTGCTGCTAAGTATGACTAAATAGCCTTGGGAATGAAGATAATGTCAGGTATTTATTGCAATGCTGGAGAAAAAGTGAGGTATATGTTACAATCTATCACCATATATTTGGATTTATTATGAAAATGTAGGAGATAATTAGGTTGGCCATTCATTCTAGTTTGCCTGGGACATTACCAATTTATGCTTGTGGTCCTGTTTAATTATTAATCACGTTCCCTCAGATGTGTCTCTTGCTTTAGGAGGTAAGTTTTATGGTCACCGTAGTGATAAAAGTCCAAATGGGTGAGAAGCTTATTGAAAGTTCTGACTTCAAACCCAGGGACCAGCAGAGATACCATCTGCTTCCTCTAGCCACGCCCGGGACCTGGCTGGATGGAGACATGAAACGGGTCCACGCCAAGATGTTGCCTAGGCAAGATACTGGCTTCCTGCCAGGCCTCAACCGGGACAAAATGGTGGAATAGTGGGGTTGGTCCAAGAAAAGGTGCCATCACAGAGGTGAGGCACGGAGCATGGAACCCATGAGATACTGGGCAAGAATCGCCAGCGGCATATGCCTTGCCCTTGGAGAAAGGGATGGAATTTCCACGTTGCCTTTAGGTGTTTTCACACTGCCTTTGCACCTGGGCCTGGACTTTTCCAGAGAAGTCCAGTCTGGCCACCAAGAATCATCTGAACGAAGGTGAGACACGAGTCCAGCTTACACTAGATCAATATTTCTTGGTCTATTTTAACTTTAAATGAGGAAGTGAAGAATGCAAACCCTGTTCTTCTCCCCTCTCGACATCTTCCGGATATTGAGGAAAAATCCAGGTATGCTATATAACAGGGCTGTCCTATTCCATTTTTCTGCTCATGTTCCAGTAATAGCCACATATGTCAAACTTTTAGGAAAACTTCTTGAAAACGAATAGTTTTAAATCCCAAAAGAACCACTCTGCCTTGAGCACCATCATAAAGAATGCCCAACTTCCACTTGATAAGCAGGACGGGTTTACTCTTGTTTATCGGAGAGATCTCCCGGGGAAGACGGGAAGGCATGGCGGGAGAATGCCTCGGCCACCAGCGATCCCCGACAAGCTTGCACAGGGGCAGCATGAACGTGGTACACTATACAAACTCGGCCTCCCGCTGCCTAAAATGTGATGGTGGAAATCACGTGTGCAGAACAGAAGGTACGTGTAATAAGGCACAGTAATGCAGACATCGTAGAACCAACCAAAGCTGAGGGGTAGGTCTTCCATTTCCACAGGATGGCAAGCCGTGAGGTGGTGACCTGCCCTTTCTCTGAAAACCATTGAGATTGTGAGATGTTTTTAAGACAAAATCCAATTGAAAGTATCAGCCTGCGGAGGTAAGCAGTATGCTGATGCTGAAGGCATCGACCAAATTAGGAAAACCTGAGTTGGTTTTGGTACCCTTTTATGGTGAGGAACACGGAAATCAAGGTCAGGAACTCTGGGGAGAAACCCAATGCCCAGGTTTAAGGGGAGATCGTTCTTTTCCTGACTCCTCTCTATTTAAGCCAGGCTCTGCAAAGGAGACTTCAGGTTAAGTGGTTTATAGAAGTAAATGTATACTATAATTTCTCTCCAGGGAAGTGTCAGGATTGCTCCCTTGGTGCTGGGCAGACAAACCTGTCACCACCAATTGTCCTTGAGGACTCAAAGCTGAACTCACATCCCCTGTGTGGTTGAGTAAGCCCCAAGCCCTTGAAAGCAGTTCTAAACTGGTACAGCCAGCAGACACGTGGCCGAGGCCAGATAAACCCTCTATGGAGGAACATATCTGCATCCTAGACCTTGAAGAACTCTCACAGATGATCTTCAAAAAAATGAGCGTACAAAGAAGCAAGGAAATATGAGTAAGAAGCAATGAAAAATATACCCAGATTTTCTTACTGTGTTTAAAGAAATAAAAGACAAGCCAGCACCATCGAAATTAGAACCAAAGAACTTCTAGAAATGAAAAATACAGATGAGTGTAAGTGCAAATGACACAAAGGTAAGTACAGTTTGATACCATTTATATAAATTTTAAAACACAAAATACGCTGTTCGTGGATATGTACATAAAATTATTCAAAAGGTTCTAGAAAAATCAGTAATAAACTTATGACAAGAACTGTACCTGGAGGGAGGCCAAGGTAGTTGTAGTGACTTTAATGTTTTGTATTTCCTTTTTTAAAAGGAGCATGCACATGTTAATATACAAATATGAAATTTAAATAGGCATTATATATAGACAAAACAGTGGTTATTTCTGTGTAGAATAAATGAGTTTTAGATTATTTTTACTTTTATATATTTTAAATATTTTAGAAACTGACAAATTTCAATTTTTGGGCCAAGAGAATATGTAGACTATTTAAACAATATAAAATACTCTGGAAATTAGAACCAATGAGCACAGGTAAGGTGATGTTTAGAGGAAAGTTCCTAGACTCAAATGCTTGTTTCAATTAAGTATAAATAAAAATGAGAATCTAATATAAGAAGTTAGAGAAACAAACCTCAGGAGGAAAAAAAATAGTAAAGAAAACATCAAATACTAAATTAGAAGAAGAGGAGAATAACTCATTTTTTTCATTTAACTATCACAAAGTCCAATTTCCATAATCTCTCTGCAGAAAGAGGTAGAACTCTGAGAGCTTTCATGGCATTCCAAATTGTATTTTACAGAAGCCTACCAATGGTGATTGGGAAGGGAGTTACTTTATACCCTAAAGTAGCCTGGTGACAGGTGTGAGGAAGACTAATTGTTTTCTGAATAACCCTTTATGCTACTGAGATTTTTAATGATAGGCATATATTAACAAAAGGGTAAAATATCAGGCATCTGTTTTTCATGTACAATTTGAATACTTACATGCAAACGAGTGGAAAATAAACACCCTTTTGAATACTGCAATTACTTGCATGACTTCCCTTGGAAATTTTGTGTTCTAGGAAGTTATTTCTCCCCAGAGATAGACAGGTATTTACTTAGCAAGTACCTTGCTAAGACAGGTACTTCCACTGGTAATCAATACCTTTATAGACATTTGATGGGTATGTCTCATGAATGAATAATTATATGAAACCAAAGAAAGTCCAGCTAAAGTTTCTGGAAGTATAGCAAGAGTCTAAGACCTTGCTAACTTTGTTTTATATTTACAGGAGGAAGGGACTCATTTTCATTCATCCATGACTCGTTGATGATGATGGTCCCAGAGAGTATGACTGATGCCAGGACAACTTAATTTTCACTGTTTAAAATGCACATTTCCTACGTGCCTACTGTGTCCGAGGGGCTGGATTTAGGTGTGGCCGAGAGGGAGACTGGCTCAGTCTCTGCCTGCAGAAGTAGGACAGAACAGGTACGCAGGTAGCTCCAGGCCGAGGGTCTTGTGGGAGGACCACAGAAGGGCTGACGGTAAGTGTGGTTTTGGGCAAAAAGGTAAGATCCGGAAAAAGCAGAGAGCGGGCACCAAGGGACTCTTTCCAGCACCTTTGTCAGTCACCAGCCTGTGCTTTGCCTGTAGTCATGAAAGTGTTCTTCAAACTCAGTTTTCTTGTATTTCATCTTCCTTAGAAGACTATACCGATGAATGGGTTTTCTTTTCTCATTACACACTGGCATTTCTGACAGTAAGGGCCTACATAATCAGATTTCCAGATTCTACAAGTGCTAGTTTAAAGATCAGACACACCCAGGTGAGGAGAGTACAGGTCCTCAGCCAGCCAGAGCTGCTGTTGAACAGTGTGGGCTCAGTCTCAGTGAGCTGGCCCTCACCTGATTGATGTAAAATTATGATTTAAATTAATTTGCTGTGTTCACGCTTACATCCTGAGAAAGCATTTGTGAATGAGTAGCTGCTGTTGAACAGTCCCAGTTAATCATCACTTTTCTTTATGGGTTGGGAAGAAAAAGGAATTTGGACCAACTTGTAATAGCCGCTGACCCTACTCCTGGGGCTACTTTAGCAAGGTTTGATCATTCTGTAGCCTTTTCTTAGAAGGGACTGTCCCAGGCTGGCTAGTCTTGTTTTACAAAATACTGTGTGTTGTAAATAACAGAGACACAGATAAGGTGTGGATTAAGAGCAATGCTGTGTCTGTCAGAAACACTGAACTGAAAATCTCCACCCCTGGAGAAAATGCACAGAGCCTTCATTTCACATCCAAAGCACAGCCCCGACTACTGTCGGGGTTCTGAATGATGGCTTGTTCCAGGTGAGACCATAATGATTGGAGCATGGGAGTGGCATAAACAACTCCAAGGCTCTTTTGTTACAGGATGGAGACTTGACCTCCTCATAGGATAAGACCAGAAGGTCCCCCTGCCCCTCTTACATTGTATATCTGTGGCAAAGTTGGGGAAAGATGAACTAAAGACAGCTGGGCAGTGGGGGCTCTAAATATGCCAGCATGGCTGCTTCCCTGGTACTCTCTTCCTCCCTTCGATTGATACATCCATCCATCTGTGCATTTATTTTAAGCCTGCAGGTAAAGAACTTGCGCTTGACCCTCGGCTCTCCCACTTCTGGGTATCCTACTAGACAAGTTTAGCCTTATTTTGTAATGTTTCCTCTTCTGTAAAATGGGGCTAAGGATAGTATCTGCTTCCTAGGCTCATACAGAGGGTTAGAAATGCCTGTGAAGTACTTAGCCCTGTAATTGGTGCCAAATGTTTGCCTTTTTTTTTCCAGACAAGGTCTCACTGTATTGCCCAGGCTATAGCGCAGTGAGTCATCATAGCTCATTGCAACCTCAGACTCTTGGGCTCAAGTGATCCTCCCGCCCTAGCCTTCCTCGTAGCTAGGACGATAAGTGCACACTATGCCTGGCTATTTTTTCTGTAGAAACGTGGTGTCTCCCCCCTTGCTCAGGCTGCTCTTGAACTCCTGGCCTCAAGCCATCCTCCCAACATTGGCTTCCCAGTTGGCCACCATGCCCAGCCACATTTTATAACACTTCAAAACACAACTAGGATCTCTTTATAACCAAAGGATTTAACACCCCACTGTCCCCCATATATACATACCATTTGGTTGTACAGATAAAAATAAAAATTTTTATTCTGATTAGAGGAACAATTTTAGCCAGCTAGTTCAGTATTCTGAGTATGACTACCCATCATCAGGTGTAATTTAAATACCATTTTGAGGGGCAAACCTTAAAAACCCAAACAGATAAAATGCTGTGTGACACTTGCGTGAGGTTTTATGTTAGAAGAATGGCCCATCCGTGAACCGAAGGTGCCACCGAAACACCCTTGAGGATCGTGGCACATTCGAGTTTCATAGCAGAAAAATGGCCTTTCGCTCTGCTATGTTCCAGCTCAGCCTGCTGGAGACACAGTTTTCTGTGAGCTGAGAAACCTGACATTGAATGTGTTTTTGTTTAAGCTTTGAAAGAATTAATTCGATTACTCATATAAGCTGCATGACTGGTTTCAGTTGGGTATATCCTAGAAATTTAACAGAACCCCCCACGGGGTTTGTTCCTGAGCGTTCTTGCACGTCCTTCCCCACGGATAAAGTTATGCACTCTGATGTTTGGCACTTTTAGGTGTCCTCCTGTTTTGTAGTCGTTTGAGGAGGGTCACATTTAATTCAAATATTAGCAACGTGAGCCCCTCTCCGGTACGATGATGGCAGGACACTTGGTCTGCGCCCAAACCTTTCTGAGGGTCTTGGGTGGCGTCTGGGTGTCCTGGCCACCTTGTGGCCGACTTCTCCAGCCGCACTCTGCACACTTGCCCCACCTGTGAGTGCGGCTTCTCCATCAGTCTCTTGCCAGCTCGGCACGGACGCGAGGCTGCCAATATCTGAAGGACAGGAAGGGGACCCCTTCCTCTGCGCGCTCAGCTCTTGCACTGCACGAGGTCCTGTCTCTCTCCCCGCCATGAAGCGGTGTCAAAGCTTGAGCCCCCGCTTCCAGAATTCTGCTCAAGGCATGTGTGCTTGGTTATGCCCTTGGATTTTCTCCTCTATCATATTTTAAAAATCACATAGTAAAATAGACTCTTTAGGGTGCAAAGTTCAATGATTTGTAATCAGAGGAAAACATAACCTATAGCTTGAGATTTGCAGAAAGTCTCTCAAAGCCCTCGCAGATCCATCCTCGGCCCCTCCTGTAACTTTCCTCCTCTTTTCCTCCCAGAGTCTGAGATGAATTACAAAGCAGCAGAAGGTATAGAAAAACTCCCCTGGTGCTTCCAAAGTGGCTTGTAATATGCAAATGTATGCCGACCTATCTTCCCACTGTAAGTGCGTGTTCCTGGTGGATTGCAAATCCAATACACAAGTCAGGGCAGGGGCAAATTCAATGCCAAGCTTAGAGAAGCACAGAGAAGATGTTCTATCAATGCTTCCTGTCCATGCAGAAAATGGTAAGTCATCACACATCCCTTTAAGTTCTTAAAAAAATCCTTTTACAACTCTTTTCTCTAGCCTACTTGGCCTCTCATGCTCAGGTTGTGGTTCAGGAGAGCTTGACAGCAGCCAGCTAACAGCTAGATGAATACACTGAATTATTTTCCTCTAAAATAGCTCATGGCATGAAAAAAATTTTTTTTTCATTGATCAAGGCTGTGGAGAGTTAGGATGAGAATCTTGAATTCAAGGGTCATTATACCTCAAAGGAAATGGTACATTGGAAAGGTGTGTTTGTGGACAAAAGAGTAAGTTGACCCAACTGTCCTTGATTTTTAAAAATCAAAGAGAACATTTTTATAGGAGATGAAATATCCATAAAGAACTAGTTTATACTTTAAATGTGAGGTTGACCACTAGAGTGTTTATGCTAGTGTTTTCTTTTCTTCTGGAATGTTGAGATGGTACATTTGGACAGATGAAGCATGATTAGCTGTGTGTGTGTGTGTGTGTCACATGGCAGTCAGTGCATTCAGTTTGTGCTGCCAACCAGCCCCCACACCTGCATGGAATTAATTCCAGTTCCCTAAGTGTGATGGGAGAGAAATCACGCACTTAATCTATATCATATGTCTCGGAAAAGTTCCAGACAGACACCAGCCTGGAGTGAGAAATGTGGATTTTTCAGTGACTAATGTTTAAAGGGTAACATTTCCTTAGTTTCATAAAACAGAATGAAGGCCTTTTTGGGGACTACTTTAAGGAAATGTTGAAGGAATCACTTTGGAGGAAAAAAAACAACAACAACAAAACACTAGCAAGTGGAAATAGCTTTCCTCTGATCACATGGTTTGTTAGAGACTGTTCCAGTGAGACATGGTGCACAGGCAAAGTTGCTTAAGGGGAGAAACGAAAAGGGTCAGGATGCGGGGAAGAGCTTACTCGCTCTGTGGATACTTGAAATGTACATGTAAAATATTAAGTAGTGGTGCATTTTTCTGGCAGTTCATAGCTTTCGTCAGCTTCTCAAATAAGTTCTCAGCTCAGAAGAGTGTAGGCTGTAACCTACCACCTTCCATAACAGATCAAGTGCAAAAGACAGACAGCAATAAACAGATCTTTGCAAGGATGAAAGGAATGGGCAAATTCCCAAAAGATGACTAAATTTATAATATTCAAAACCTATGCCAAAATAAAACTAAGTAATTTCTAATCCATCAAAAATGAAACTCTTATAAATCAGGGAGAAAACCCTCTATCTTGCAAGTAGGAAAAAAATAGGCAAAGGATAAGAGCAGACAATTCACAGAACAAATATAGTTAATAGCTGGCTGGTACTGGCTCATGACTGCCAAGTCCCTACTCCTTGTTCAGTGATGTCACATGAATAACTTGAAATTGGCCAGAGTGGGAGTTTTTACAGCAGAGAAATCAGTTATAAAGCAGATTTTTTTTTAAAGAGCCAGTGTACCAGCGCAATACTGGCTATTATAGATACATAAAAAGCAGTTCAAGTGTACCAGCACTCAAAGAAATACAAAAAGAGGTCTAGACAAGATGGAATAATAAATACAGTTCACCCTATTCCTTCTGTTAATTACAGCAAAAAAAATCTGGATGAAATTCATAAAGCATCTGATGGAAGACTCAAAGTTGGAGGAAAGAAAGTAGACTGGCTAGGGACATCAAAAGTTACCCTACCCAGCGGTGAATTCTTGTATGTGTTTTTCCTTTTATGTATCTTGGCCTGAGCGATGGAGAGGCCCACAACCTGGAAATAACTAATGGTACCAGGCTGAAATTAGAAAAAGAATCCCTAAGGAAAAGCCTGTTATCTTCAGCCAAAACACTTGGAAAGGGCAGTCCAGAATGACAAACATTTTGATCACCCTGGACCTCACTCTAGCTCAACACCAGAAAAAGGCCCTGTCCCTCCTCACGGGGCATCATGGCCGGGGGACTGGCAGATCTCTGCTTTCCCTCACTTCTCGAAATGACATCCCTTCCCTGGAACAGAGACTGTGGGCAGAATTTTGGTGGATTTCTCAACACCATGGAGTCTAGAAGGAAGCGGAACAACGTTGTTCAGTGCTAAAAGAAGAAAACAGTCAACTCAGAATTCTATATCCAGCAAAAGTATCCTTCAGAAATTAAAGGTAAAACAAAGACATCCTCAGATAAAGGAAGTTTTTGAAAGAAACTTACAACATAAGGCACGAAGAAGCAATCTGAGTAAATATAATACTTATGTTTTAAAAATTACATTTGGCTGAAAGAAAAAAATACAACATCTGAAGCAGTTCTCAGTGTACATAAATGTAACAAGACATGTCATAAAGGGGTGGATAAAGGGAGCTAAAAGGTGTTAAATTATGTACAAATTTTGTAACCTTTAGCGCAGTGGTTTTCGTAGTCTACTAGTGTCAATACTTTATCAATCAGGGTGGTTTTGCCTTTCAGCAGATGTTTGGCAATAAAAAGACATAATTACATGAGCTTTTGCCATCTAGTTTGTAGAAACCAGGGATGCTGCTAAACATCCTATGATGCACAGGAAAATCCCTATACAACATTCAGCACAAAATGCTAGGTTGAGAAACTCTGCCCTAGAGCAATCATACAAAAAACTATAAAGATATATATTCAAACCCACTATAGCTAAATCAACATGAAATACTAAAAAATGTTGAAATAAATCACAGGAATATCAGAGTGAACAAATAACATGATAGGTTTAAATTCTAACGTATCAAAGACAGTGACTGGCAGGATGAATGAAACAATGTATGAGCCAACTACATGCTGTCTACAAGCAACTATTTTCAAATCTAATGCTGTAGATAGGTTAAAAGTGAAACAATGGGGAAAGACTTATTACATTGCAAACACTAATCAAAAGAAAACTGTAGCGGATATACTAATATCAGATGAAGTAGACTTTTAGAACAAAGATTACCAGAGTAACTTTACATAATGAGAAAAGGGTCAATTCACAAAGAAGATACAACACTCCTACCTGTGTGGAGCATGAATAGAGCTTCAAAATAAAGCAAAAACTGATGAACTGAAAGGAGACACAATTACACTTGGAAAACTTCAACACTCCCTTTCAGTAACTGATAAAATATCCCAGTTTTTTCTGTTTAGTAGTTCTATCAAATTGTCAAAGCTTTGAAAAAAATTTAATACAAGCAAAGTCATGGTGAGAAAGGCAATGCAGGAACATCAATATACGTAATTATATAAATTATTTTTTCAGAACTATTAGGCTTAAAATGGTCATACCATTTTTCAACCCAATGTTGCATTTTTTTCTAGGGGAATAATTTAAGTAAGGAGGTTCAAAATATATCTGTCTAGAACTTCATAACAGAGCTATTTATAATAGCCAAAATTAGAGATATATAAACATGCCTAATAATGGACAAGTACTTAAGGAAAAAAGTAGTATATAAAGCTCTGTACATGGAGAATTGTTAAAAATAGAGACCTACAAAAATTAAAATATAATAAAAAATTACCTGTGATTATCTCAATTTTTTTTCCTTACCCCCTCAAGTTTCCTACTGTGAAATATCACATTCATAATCCCAACAAACTAACTTTTACTTCCAAAAACAGCATAAAAATGAGATAATATATACAAAGTACCCACTCTACTACAGAGATACTCAGTAGGTGGTAAAATTCTTGTAAATATTTTGAAAGTGAAAATTGGTGAGAAAGTATAACCATGATTATGCTTAGTGGGACTGTCTCATGGTTTAGATAAGTTGCATGGGTACCTTAACTAGTGTGAATATAAAAACAATTACTAACAGTACGTTAAAACAGATTTCACCAACTGCTTTATGTGGATTTTCTCATTCAACCATCTGAGTAGCTGAATTATCTCCATTTTATAGAAGCAAGAAGTTTAAGCAGCTTGTCCCAGTGTATACATTACCAAGTAGTACAGAACCTGGATTTGACCCATATCCTATCAAATGAGCACAGAAGACATACCTGGGCCTGCCTAAGTGCAGGGTTGGCTGGCAGGGGTCTGGCGGGGACGCTGGGCACACGTGGAGCCTGGTGCAGGGGAGGAAGTACTCGCTGAGGTGACTGGGGCTGAGGGAGGTCCAGGGCTTTGAGGGGTCTGCTGATGTCAACGTTCGGACACGGCGCCAATCTCCTGGCATTGTTCTGCACGGCCAAAGCAGAAAGTCAGGCTGTGACAGGTCGCAAAAATATTGACAATTCCTTAAGGAGGCGGCAGTGCTAAGTTGTCTGCCATAGTTGAAGGTGGAGTGGGGAAAGAAATCAAGGATATTTACAAGAGGGAAATCTCACAGAAGCACCCCTCCCTCCAAATCTGGAATAGAGGGATCAATTTTTAATTAAAAAAAAAAAAACTGGTGTAAGAAATAGGAGTAAGGGACTTGAAAAAATACCATATATGAAGACAACAACCCTGATCTTAAGGAAATTACAAAGGAGGTATGAAGATGAGACATAGCTTAATAATGCGTGCAAGGCTCAGTGAGAACCAGAGAACTCCCAGGGGAAGGACAGCCATGCTTCCCGGAGGCTTGTACCTGGATATTCTCCCCCCCACCATCCTTAGAGACAGAACAGGTGTAGCATAGGCCTGGTACCTCCTGTCCCCCTCTCCCTTTTTAAAACCAGCTTTATTGAGATATAATTGACATGATTTACTGCATATATTTATAGGGTTCAGCTTAATAATTTTTGACCTATGTTTACATCTATCACTCCAAAGAGTTTCCTTATCATCCTTCCATCCCATGGCAACCATGGCTCCACTTTCTGTGGCTACAGTTTGCGTTTTTAGAATTGTATATAAATGGGATCATAGAATATATACTGTTTGGTTTCCTCTTCTCCGAATCATAATCTGAGATTCATCAGTGATGATGTGTATTTCAATGCTTCATTCCTCCTCATGGCTGAGTAGCATTCCATTGTGCATAATACAGAAAATATACCTGTTTGTTTACCCTTTTGTCTGTGGACGGATCATTTCCAGTTTTTGGCTCTCACAGATAAAGCCATTCTTGCTTCTAGTCTCCCATTCGGGGATGGGAGGTGGTAAATGTTACCAGGAATGGTGGCTGCCTCCTTGGAACCCAGCCCTCTTTTATTTCCCTTGATCCAAAAAGTATAGTTTATTGCCTGCTGAGTATGTCAATTATTTTGTTATAAAAGTGAGCACCAATCTTATTCACTGTTGTAATATGGACTTGAGTCCAACATTCAAGTGTTCTTGTGGACACCCCAAAAAAAACTTGGTGGGGAGAAACCAGAGTGAACTGCAGTAATACTTCCCCAGGGTAGCAGGGAGGCAACAGGTACTTTGGGTTAAGGATCCAGTTCTTTGAAACCATTGGGGGGCGGGGGGGGCGGTGATAGGGCTTCCTCAGCTCAGGGCTGGAGCGTGCTGGGCAAACCTGATGCCTAAGTGTGACTTTTAGAGGTACTTTAGGAGAAACGGGGGGGGGCAAAGAAGTTCATCCAAACCCGGCTAGGTGGCATTTAGAAACCACAGAGGGGCCCAGTGTCTGGAGCCTGCTTGGGCTGCAGATCCAGCGGGCCCCTGTAAACAGGGCCGGTCTGGGTGATTGGAGGGAGGATGGGTCACAATCTGTACACGCCACGCCACGCAGGGGACACTGTGAGGCCTTCCTTCAGGCTCTGGCCCACTCAGGGACCCTCACTCAGGCTCTATTGCCCTGAGTATGCTGACTCAGCGTTTCTTGGAGAACGTCCCTAGGAGCCCACTCGGTCTCATATTGAAAAGCTCACATCTCCAGGCATGCACTAACATCTCATGCTTGTTCAAAACTTACCTTAGGGGGGTTGGAAGCTGCCGGCGTCCTCATCAGGCTTTTCCCAAGGTGGGTGAGGTGAGACTGGCCAGGATGGGCGCGCCCGGCTGGCCGGGAAGGGTGCACACACCTGCAACGCAAGCCGGACCAAGGGTGTTTCCTCTTCTCATTGACTTGGCTTGTTTACATTTTGCTCATAGTGACACTCAAAAAATAATTTACTTACTTAACTCAATGTGATAAACATGCAAAGGAAAAATTACCTACCACTAATAGAAGATTAAAAAATATTGATTTTTTTTTTGGCCCCCAAAGCCATGATTCTGTTAGATTAGTTCTTGCAATCCACAGGCAGCTTTGGGACACCCAGGAGATGTTGTACAGGAAGCTGGTATTTCAGCAATAATGTCTTTGAATGCATTTGGATCAAAAGCTACCCCATGTGATGAAAATAATTCAATGTCTCCATGTCTTGCAAAAATTACTAATGTAAGGGTGGAAGAAAATAAGCCAGCGGAATTCCTCAACACCCTGCTTGTCTATGTAACAAACAGCAGATAGTCTGGAGAGGAAGTGAAAAATGTAGCTGGTCTGGTAGAAAAAAAAAGGAGCCCCCCCATGCACCCCCAAACCCCAGTCTAACTACCCAGAAAACCTGACCTTTTCTTTGCTAAGGAAAACGAAGTGAGAAGCAGTTTGTTGTACACTTTTTCAACTATTTCTTGGAAAGATGACGACCCCATCCCAGGGTACCTTAGCTTTTCAATGGTGGTTTTTTTATTTGTAAACAGCAGTCGTATCAAGGTCTTCCTTTTGAGATAAACCACAAATCCAGCAGCAAGAAGACACAGGATGGTCACCAGAATTCCTATCGTTAAACCTTGGTTATCTGAAACGAAACACGTTCGACTCACACAAGGAGGCAGTTAGAGTGAAATACGGGAGGTTTCAAATTGTGACATTTATGGCAAAGTGAACTTTGAAGGAACAAACAGAAATGAAGCGAGTAAATCCCGGAATGATGTGCTAATAAATTAGTCTTCCTTCAGAGGTCGTGTTTGAGGTTCGATCTCTGTTGCCATCGTTCATGTCTGACAACTCCGGAACTTGCTAGACAGGAATATGGGCCTGGACCACCCAGGCTCCCCCAGGCACGACTGCAGCAGAGGGGACCATGGTAGCCGCAGAAGGTCCTGGGGCCACAGCCTCACCAGCACTAAAGTGGTCCCCAGACTGAAGCGTTTCCAGCCCTCATCACAGATGGGCTGCTTCTCTCATGCTGTAGCTGTGGAATCTGCTTCATCTCTGTGTTTTTTTAATGAGACTATGTCTGGACATCTCAAATTAGTGAATAAAGAAAACTCATAGCTTATCAGGGGTCCTCAAACTGTTTAAACAGGGGGCCAGTTCACTGTCCCCCAGACCGTTGGAGGGCCGTTGGAGAGTGCGGCGCACATTCCACGCATGCGCACTGTGGGCCCGGGACGAGTCGGCTGCTAAGCAGGACAGGCAGTGGCGGCAAAAACACCCGGCGGGCCGGATAAATGTCCTGGTGGACCGCATGTGGCCCTCGCGGGCCATGGTTTGAGAAGGCCTGGCTTAAATGAAACATCCACAGATTTTGTTATGTTTGGGATTTAAAAATACAGCCATTGGGTGCAAACTCCATTTTCTGGGAGGGAGCTGTTTATTTTCTTTATGAACACATCACCCTTTCTGTGATTTGCTCCCATTTTGCTTCGTACATTTGAGAGACTCCTCAAGGGTGTGGAAAGGACCGGGAACTTTCAGATTGGTTTCTGACAGCAGCCCCAGCCAAAGACTACTGAGGGAAGACACTAAATGCTAGGGTTAGGAGGGAGGATTATTTGCAGTTTCAACCAGACTATGAATTCCTTGAGGACGTGGGTGTCAATTTATTTGTCTGTTTCCCACCAGCAAGAATCAGGGTGTGTTTTACGTAGTAGGTGCGCGGCTGTCCATTCAGGCTGCCGGTGCTGGCCGTGAAGCTGTGACTTCAATTACCGGGCTCTCTGCCCCCCCTCCCTGTGACCTCAGCTGGCTGAGGACCAGAGTGGCAGCAACACCCACTCCAGGGAGGACGTCGTCGTGCCCTCTCTGTTTCTGGACTTTGTCCCCAGCTGACAAGCCCTATCAGGGATGTGGTCTTAGCCTAAATGGGACAATCAACATGTGACAGTCTTGATTCACTTGTGTTACTGAAAAGCACGGCTTTTGGTTTCCTGGCCAAAATGTCATTCTTAACAGCAGTCACGGGGGCTCTGGCTAGAGTTCTGGTGTCTTGCAATGGAGCTAATTAAAAAGTGAGCAGCAAAAGTCTTGAACTGTAATTTTTAGTTCCTTAAAAATCAATCCATACATTTTAAAGTCATCAATTTATCAAATTGAATGTTCAACAGGCACCCAAATGGAACCTGTTGCATTCCCCGGGTTAGAGCGCCATCCCGCCACTTGCTGGAGCTGAAGGTAGGGGGTGGGGGTGGGGGGACAGTGTGGGACTCCATTTCCCTCTCCCCCAGGCCCGGCACCAGCAGTGTGTCCTGCAGAGCTGGCCTCCTGCAGCCCCTAGCCCATTGGCCCATTACCCACCCTCCTGCCCCACCGTGGGCCAGATTCTAGCTCTTTACCCAGCTCTCTCTGCCACAGAGCATGTGTGTCCCTTGTCCCCTTCAGACCTCAGCAGACACGTCGAGTCCACAGGAGCCTTCCCGACACTGCCCTGCTGCTCCTGAGTCCATGGCGGTTGCCCCTCCCCTGACATCCTCATCGTGGCCCACAGTCACCGTGCCTTGTGGCCTCTGCTAGGTGTCTGCCCAGGACCTGGGAGAGCAGCTGGCCCACGGCAGACATGTGGGAAGTACTTGCTTGATAAGCAACTGAGCCACAGCCAGGCCAGGAGCAGCAGACCACAGGGACAGCAAGGTCCAGGCCACATTTGCACCGCCTGCCTTGATTCCGTACGTGTGTGTGTGTGTGGGTGGGTGTGGGGGGGGCTTACGATACAATCTTTTATGAAATGATGGCCTCAGTGGGTGGATTTGGCTACTCCGTTGTCGTTTTTTAAACATTCTCGCAATGAAGAGTGGGTGACTCTGGGGGGGTCCCTGACCTTTTGGAAACTCTCGGACCCGAGTCCACTGGTCACTTGCACCATGCTGCAGAGAGACACAGAGCTGCTGCCTCTCCACTTCCTTTCCAGCACCGCCTGGTTTACCTGGACGGAGATGGAATGGGTAGCAGGGTCCCCGACGGACTAAAAACTAAAACCTGCTATTTTTGTGCAATAAACACCTAAAGCCACATTAGAGGCTTACGTCGTAGTCAGAGACCAGGCGTCAGGGCTGAGCTGTCACCAGGGAAGGGGGGTCCTGAGCCCGGCGCTGGCTTCCCCACCTCTGCGATTGGAGGCTCACTAACGGGCAGGACTCTCTGGTCCCGTTGCTCCGTACTGCGGGCTGGGGCCTGCTGGAGCAGGAACCTGGAGCCGCTGTGCCTTGTGGAAGCGTGCCCACATTTCAGCAGAAGCAGGACGGGGACCTCGCTGCCCTCGTGGCGCTGTTTCTGCAGATGAGCCTGCTAGGTGGAACTCCCTGCCCGAGCCCTGCGCTCTGCCTGGCCCTGCAGAGCCATGTTGTGTCTGTTGCCATGGAAATGGTGGCAAAGACACTGAGTCAACACTGCCCATCACAGCAGGCCTTGGGGATGCGTGACCCCCCTGCAGCAGCACTGGTCTTAGTCCCAGTGTCACGGGGGCTGGGACGAGTGCCGAGGAGAAAGCACACACTGCAAAGTCCCACCTGCTCCTGGCTCCCCACCGTGCCCCCCATGGCTCTCCGCACCTCCCTGCCTTGCTGCTTTCACTGTGACAGGGACGTCACTCGGACTTGCCCCTTGCCTGTCTGAAAAGAACTCGGGAAACAGCCCTGTCCCAGAGAGTGCTGCTCAAGGTCATCCGAGGAGAAAGGCGTGAAGGTTCAAGCACAGCTGCTGTTAAGAGTGTCTTGACGGCCGAGCGCGGTGGCTCACGGCTGTAATCCTCGCACTCTGGGAGGCCGAGGCAGGCGGATCCTTTAAGCCCAGCAGTTTAAGACCGGCCTGAGCAAGAGTGAGACCCAGTCTCTACTAAAAAAATAGAAATTTGCCAAACGACTAAAAATATATAAAGAAAAAATGAGCCGGGCATGGTGGCACATGCCTGTAGTCCCAGCTACTCGGGAGGCTGAGGCAGGAGGATCGCTTGAGCCCAGGAGTTGGAGGTTGCTGTGAGCTAGGCTGACGCCACGGCACTCTAGCTCAGGCAACAGAGCGAGACTCTGTCTCAAAAAAGAAATAAAATAAAACTGGGGACAGACTTGCGTCTAACTCTTGGCTGAATGGCTTTGGGCACATTACTTAACTTCTCGAGCCTCAAGTCCCTTGTATGTGAAGAAAGAATAGACACGCCTACCTCAGAGTTGTGGGAGAAGACGACATAACGCTCGGTACAGATGCCAACGCGCCCCTGCTCAATACTCAGACGCTATCTCTGCCACTGGCGTGGCTGCCGTGACTGTCACCTTTATTCAGAGGTGGGTGTCTTTCTAGTATGGCTTTTTAAAGCATTGCACTTCACACCCCTTGGCCCCAGCGCACGGCAGCTGGCGCCTTGACAAAGTCCTTTGACACGATGACATTCATGCCCAGTTGGCGGTTCACTGTAGAAATTACCTAAGCTAAGGAAAGTGTCACGGGCTAAAGTATACGCGGCAAACTCGGCCACTTGCTCCAAGCGGAGAGCAAGGAGCCTTGGACGTGACCAGGCAGGACGGGAGCGAGAGCCCCTGGAAGCTGGGCGGGAGCCCAGGCTGTGTCACACCCACGTGGGTTTCCCCCCGGGTTTCCTGCTGACGGGGCTACACCCGCACCCATGCTCGCGGCTGCTGAGCTGCCTGGGCTCGCGCCATCCCAGGTCGGTCGCTCGGTGTCCCCCCACCCCCACCCCCAGGGGCGCGGGGGCCTCACCGACCTGCTTGCCGGATGGGGCCGCTGTCCGTGCTTCCTCCAAAGCCAAACTTGTCACAGAAGGGTGGTGCCCAGTGGGCCTCGCAGTGGCAGTTCTTCCTGTTGTTGCACACCTTCGGGGCAGCGAGAGAGGCGTCAGGAAGGCCGTGGCGTCCGGGCGTGCCCTCTGCGCGGCGCCACGGCAGGAGCAAGGGCTCTGCAGCCGGAGCCCGGCCCCAGCGCTGACACGAGTCCGCGGCGCGGTGGGGACGGGCCCCAGACGCAGCACCACACGGGGGACGGCGAACCGGAGGCTGTAGCTGTGACATGGCCTGCGGTTAGCAGGTGTGATGAGAGTACAGTGGGGGTCATCAGGGCCCCCAGCTTGCTCCTAGCCCTCTCCCGGTCCTCCTCTCTAAATCCAGGGAACTCAGCATCTGGCCACGAGGAGAAGCCCCCGCGGCGGCAAGGAGGGACCCTGGGTCATCACGGGACCCGACAACCTCCTGGCACATCTCCGCATCCATCAGACTGGAGGCTCAGAGAGGCTGGGGGACTGGGGGTTCCCAGCAGGCTGGGGTGGCGGGGCAGGCCCACAGCCAGGCTTCCTGTTTCCTGGCGCCCACGGAAGCACACGGGATGGGATTTCCACCAACACGTCCCCGCAGCCCGCTCCCATCCCCTATTCCTGAAACGCCCGCTTCCTTCTCGCAGAGCTCCCCAGCGGCCGTTCCCAGGTCCCCCGTGGCTGGCGGGCAGAGCCAGCACTAAACTCTCTTCCTTGAGGAACAGGAGGACGGTTCCGCCGTGGCAAGAAAGGGACGCCGGGAAAGCAGGAGGAGGGCGCACTCTGCCCTTGCTGGGCCCCGAGTAGGCGACCTGACTCGGAGAGCAGAGTGCTCTGCGGGGTGGCCGGGGAGCTCCTGCCCACCTGGTTACCAAGGGGCACCGGTGGTCGTGGCTGCCCAACCTGCCTATGCTGGTTGGACCCGTTATTGGAACATGAGCATGAAGACAAGGGAATCAGGTTGAATCCTTTGGGAACACTGGATAAAGAAAGGCAAATCGCTAAAAGGCATTTCTGACCCTTTAGGAATGGGCAGGGCCCCCGCAAAATAACCGGGCACAGCAGTGACGGGCGCGGAGTCTGCACTCGGATTGCCGCCGAGTGTCCGCATTTCCCCGCCTCTCACAGAAACCAACCGTACATCGTTGACGGCGCATTTGGGGGCGGTTCATATAAGCAAGTCAAGGCAGAACTACAGTCAGCAAACCAATCCTAAAGGCCTCAGCCCTGCATCAAAATACTAATACACACTTTAGTATTTTAAGGCCAGATAAAATATTTGGAGTATGTGCCTCACTCGTGATCTTCTCTGTGCCCCCTGACTCGTTTTGATGAATCAGCCACCTGCCCCCAGTGTTTCCAACGAGAAGGCCGACAGTCGAGACAGCCTCAGGTACGTTGGAGAGAGTGCTGCTGTGAAGCGGAAGTCGAGCAGAATGAACTGGTGTGTGGCAGAGCCTGTGCCTGTCCCCTCAAAGAGGCAGCTACCAGCCCCTAGATGCACGCCTGCCCTGCAACATGTAGCACGGTGCCCTTTTTGTGGCTTGCAGCCGAGAAACTGCAGCCTTGACAGCCCACTTGGAGGTGCTGTTGGTGAGCTTGGTCTCATCGAGGAAGAACCGTGGCCAAGCTACTCGTCGCCAAGTCCTGGCCGGCTGCTCCACCTACCTGGAAAACGGGCCTCTCCCCTCCGGGGTGGGGATGAGGCCCCAGGGATAGTGGAAGGTGAAGAGTGCAAGGCCCCCCACCCAGCATGTGGCTGCAAAGTCATGTTACCTTGGACATAGCAGCCCCCCAACTTGGGTCTTGGCTTCTTTGTGAGTAAAATAACAGGGCCGGACTAGATTGCCTCTTAGCAGGCATCAGCAAGAAATCTATGAACCAATGAAGACATAAAAAGATTTTGTTTTCTACTGGGAGTCAGCTAAACTCACGGTGGGCAGACCCATGTGAGGGGGCCCAGCAGCCCCTTCGTGGTTACAGCACAATGTAACTTTATGGGAGCCCCCGTAATTCTAGGTGAGGATCATTGGCATGTGTCTGTACATTTTAAAAATAGAATTTGGAGCATGATTTCTATAGAAAAGATTTCAGAAAGACAAAAGAACCACTGGCATGGCCAGTCAAGATTAATAGGATCCCATTGGAAATAATTAAGCCCATCAGGAAAAATAAGTTATGGTTTAAACAATTAGAGAAACCTCTTCCGCCCTAAAGGTTCTCTGAACTAAAATATTAAACAACAGCTTTCTTTAGTGAAAACCCATTGTGTGTGATTTTAAGAACATGTGCTTAGTATGGTCTGTTGTCTTCGTTTTAATTCCATTTGGAAGAACTTCAGTTCAGACACATATTCTGAATGTTGGTAGCAAGAGGGACGAGCTATTTGAAATGTTAATGTGAAACCGTGCACGAAGAAAGGTTGGTTTTAAAATTACTTTGAAGACAACAAAATTATTTTTTAAATGGCAGAATGTTAATTTAAAAGATAATCACTGCTCAAGCTGATTTTCTCTGTTAAACAAAAATCATATTTCTTGTTATGTAAAGGTCAAAGAAAATTAATGTGTTTAGAAGGAAATATTGAGAAGACACTAACTGCTCTATCTAAAAAAAAAAGCTATGGCTTGCAAAAACTTTTACAAACAAATTATTGATTGCTTAACTTGTTATGGGCTGGCTGTAAAAAGTCAGTTTAGCGTACTTACTCCTCTGCCGTGGCACTGCATTGCGCATTCATGAACACCAAAGATGCTAATATTTTGACATCGACGATTGAGGCAGATCTGTGGAGGGAGGAAAACAGAGCATGTTATCTTAGTGCTTCTTCAGTGACCCCCACCCTCCTGGCTGCCCCCATACAGATATTAAAAAAGAGAAAGCAAAGAAAGGGTTGGAGAAGATTCAACCTTCTTTCAGTTAACATGGATACAGCATAATGACACATTTTTCATTTGACTTTCACACAGATCCTACTGTCTGACTCCAAATTCAGCATTTCTCAAGACTAAGTTCAATGTGAACACTATTAGATTCTTCCGTACTTGATGGCATTTTATGTGGTTTCAGTTGAGCCTGAAATTGTAACTGATTTTATCATGATTTTTGTCTAGAGCTTGTAATAAAATCTATGTATTGCAGCGTATTTTTACCCCATTAAAAGATGCAGGAGAGTGCGAGATGGAGTGGTCCTCACCCCAGGGCCCGTGTAGACCGGCGGGCTCCACGCATCCTGGGTCTGGGAATCTTTCAAAGGAGATGTTGAAATTTGGGAACTTTTTCAAAATACTGACAAGTAGTAATACCATCAGTGACATAAACCAGCAGAGGAACACAGCCGGCTCTCCCGGATTCATCACGCTGCCGCGGTGGCAGGGATTTGCTACATGACACGGGGCTGGTGGAGAGACTTCAGCCTCATTTCAAAGGTGCATAATGTACTCCAGCCTCAAAGGACCAGGCCCCTTTTCTCCTGTAAGATGTTACAAGTTAGCGGAGTCAGAGGAAGCAGAGTCTGATGTTTGGGTTCCGGAATCATTCTCAGTGGGGTGGAACCTTCCTACGGGGAAGGGCGCTATCCGACCCCGACAGCTCACGTAAGGCAAGGGGCATGCAGCTCTGAGGGGTCGGTGGGAATGCCGGCCACGGGGACAGTCACATTCCAGCTGATAAAAACAATTTTCCAGGATTACAATGAACACAGTAGGCCCCCTAAGAGAATCACAGCACAGGGTGCCGTCCATCTCCCGAGCCCTCAGAGAAGCGGTGTTGTGCGGAAACAGAGATCAAAGCAAATTTCGTCTTGCACGTGGAGAAAAAACCAGATGATAAATTGAGTCCTTGGAATTTCAACATTAAGATACACCTGGCCCTGGCTATGCAGGCTACAGTTTAAAAAATGGGCGTCCTTGTAATGTCAAGGCCTGCATACAAGCTTACGTGGTTAAGGAGACATCCAGAGTGCATACGATGTTTCTCGTACTATCCTGTTTCCTCAAGGAAAAGTGTGTGTGGCTGAGGGTTTGTGGGGCGTAAGAGAGTGAGTGGAGGGGATTCCTGTCCGCCTTTTTTTCTCTGTGGCTTCCATTTTAGGGAGTGATTTCAAGATCAGGCTGAAAATGGGGTCCTAAAAAGTATTTGGGGGTTGATTCATCTTTTCCCTTAAAACATTTTATTAACTTGCTAGCATTTAGTCTGATGAGACAGTTTGGGGAAAAAAAATCAGCGTGATAAAACATGAAAATCTCAAATTCTCTTAAAAAATTTTTTTGACTTTATTTCTAAACCTCAAAGTATCTTTACCTTTCTTTCTGTTCTCTGAAAGGACTCCCTTTCGGGTTTACCCTCTCTCTTCCCGTCTCCTACCCTTCTCTCTGTAGGGTCTCTGGAAACACATCTGACTTCCCATTCTGTCCAGGTGAGGACAAGCCCCTGAGAACTCGGTGCCAAAAAACCAAGCCACAGATCCACAACCAATATAATATGCTCTTGCATTTCTTTCCAAAGTAATTTCCTGGCTGGAAACCCTCATGACACCCAGAGTGTAAAAATGACTTATTAACACTACAGGGCTGAGAAGACAAGCTTGATTTTTCCCAAATTTGCATTTCAATGGCCAGACCAGGATCTAGGATTTATTGACTTTTACTTTTAGGTGCAAAGAACTGGCTTCCAGAGACAGTTGTTCTGGGAAGTGGATTTAGGAAAACAAACCGATCTTGTAACCTAGTTCTCGAACGGGATGTTTTTCAACGGGCCCTCTTCCAGACTCACATTTAAGATGCAAGCGAATGTTTGGGTCTTACTTTTCCATCTGCACACTTTGTGCCCGCAAGCACCAGCCCTGGGTCCGGCATGTCATCGCCCAAGTACACGTGGGTCCCCCGGCAGAGAATCCGGCCTCCTTCCTGCAGCGGGATATTTGTTTCTATGGAAACAGCATTGGTACCAATGACAGGCCGGCTGGCACCTCCTTGACACTGGATTTTCCCGCATTTAGCATCCCTGGAAGGGTAAGAACAAACAATTCCCAAAGAGAAAGAGTTTGCAACCAGCCCTCAGCAACGTGGGAAGGTCGAAGCGATGGCTCTGTCAGGCTGTACGGATTCCATACCTCATCTCACACTTGGCAAAGGAACTCTTGGAGTCCTTGCCACAGTTTCCATAAGGGTCACCTGCAGAGTTGACTCTCTCGAAGCAGATCCCAGGGGCAGGTTTAGCACCTGAAACAGAAGCAGAACAGCACTTTCATCTCCTGCAAGCATTTTTAATGTTTTCCTCTAAATGGCATGAGGCTTTGGCAATAGGTTAAGGAGAGACGTGTTCTGTATTCAGAGAAATCACGCCCCTCAGCTGACCCATGAAGGGTGCTGGCCAGCGGACGCCTGGGGTGTCTGCAGCCAGTGTCCTCTCTTGGCTGGACTGACACACTTCACAGCTTACTCTTCTCTAGGTCCGCTGTCTGGGGCCCTGGCATGCACAGCCTCTCCGGAGATAAGCTCTGGCTGCGGGACCAGACCCGACCTAGGGCAGAAAGGAGCTGGCTGGCTGCAGAGAAGGGGAAGCTTGCTCTCTTTAACAACATCCCACATAATTCCGGTGAGAAAACGCGAGCTAGGGCAAGCTCCAAAGAGTAATGATGACTAATGATGTGGGGAAGCAATGAGAGAGAGAGACAGAGAAGCAGTGCAAAGATTGCATACACTTTCAGTCCCATGAAGCTCCCTGTAAGAGCAAGCACTGGCTTCAGTTAATGCCTATTAATGCAAGGCAGGGATTGCTGTCAGCGGCCACGGAGTCATAAACCCTGATGGTCACTGCACACAGAATGACAGTCCCCAGCAGAGAAGGTCGTGGCAGCTGGAGAGCTAAGAAAATGGCCATTTTTAGCACATTTTCCAGCCGCTGGAGAGAGAGAGAGTGAGCACAGAAGTGGGGCATGCAGTGCCAAAAGCTTTGGGGGGCTCTGGAATCCTGTGCATAGTGATATCTGCTAAGACTACGAGCAAGTCAGGAAAACAGGCCACATTCTTCAGAGCAAACCGTGCCCTTCTTCTCCCCCACGTTGACATCCTATTTGAGCATTTCCTCCCACGTCACTTCGAACTGCCAGGATGCCAGTTCCCCAGACCCTGGCTCTGACGCCTGCCTTTCTCTGCTCCCAACTCCAGAGGGCTCCATTTGCCTTCGGAGGTGGCAGTGGCCTTATTTAAGATACCCATCAGACGATGGGCAAGGCTTCCCCCCTCCCAGGGAGCAGATGGCATTCCTACTACTAGGAGCATCCCTCGTTCTTTAACCTGTGCCTGAGCAGGCATGCTCATTTCAAACAACAAACACGACACCCCCTTGCACCATTTGAGGGGAGTGGTCTGCTCTGCCGCTGACCTCTGCAATGAGCCAGGCTGGTTCTGCACCTCTCCTCCTCCCCCCTTTTTAAACCATTTTAGAGAAGCCGCCTCAGGGGGCACTAGCCCAACTGGACACAAGTCTCTGTCAAGGAAAAAGACGAGGTCTCTGGCTCTTTAGAGTCGCATTCCTTTATTCCATCTCATTCGCCACATCTTTGCTCCCAGCATATGACACCACTCACGTCCTCAGCTTCTGTCCGTCATGGACCCAGTTCGTCCACACTCTTTGCTCTTGTTTTTTTAGTCTACTTGTTGGAGGGGGAGAAGGATGGGGAGGGTGAGTCTCAGTGTGGAACTGCACCTTGTACTTAATCCTGTTCGATAGTACTTTTGATCAAAGTACTTGGATTCGATTGATCAAAGCAGTTTGGAAGAACCGGCTTTTAGAACGGTGACAATACAGCAGTTGTTTGAGTGTTTTTGCATAAACCCAAAGTATTTATGCTTTGCCTGTCTGGTTCTGTCTTCCTCCTAACCATCATCCTTCTATTCTTCCTTCCCTCCTCCCCTTTCCATCCTTCCTCCCTTCCTGATTGTAAAGACCCCCACGGGCAGGGATGGTACCCAGGCCTGAATACGGCAGGCGCTCCAAGAACAGGTGCCAAAAAGCCTCTCGGGGAAAGCGCTCGGAGCCTCCAGTGCCCGCCCGAGGGAGCCAGCGCGGCTCTGCAGAGCGAGCGAACGCCGGCCTCTCTTCCTGTGTCTCTGGATTTTCACTCATTTATTTACATCAAATGAAGTACTGCTGTGCCGTCTTACGTAAGGTCATGAAAAGACAGATGTTTTAAGTCATGGAAAGAGAGAATGCCATTCCCTCAAAGTTTAGGTAGAGTAAGAAAACTAACAAGCGGGGGAACCCAAGTGGGCCGAGTGCTGCCCGGGGAGCGGATGTGGCTCAGCGTTAGAGGATCACTCGATAAAAGCAGCGACTCAAAGGCACAAACCCGAGGACAGCTCTCTGGACGCCTGCGCAGGACCTGCTGGTTCTGGTGAGGACTGTGAAGGAGGCTGCGGCAAAGTGTGCCAAGTGGCTTTTGTGTGCGAGCTGCCATCTGGCATTTCTCTTAGAGACAGAATGGTCCATAATTTACATTTCTCTTAGAGACAGAATGGTCCATAATTTAAAAAGCATAAATGACTTCTACCCACTTGTAAGATATTATAAATGCACATATTTTGATTCAAAGTTGCTGCACTTAAAAATCTCCGTCTTCATGTTTTTAGGAAGACGAGAGATCTCATGTCACTCAGGAAGAATGACAACAGTTTTCTTATCACCACTATATCACATCAATTTAAAGTCTTCGAGTTCTTAATAATGGAACACAGACATTTTGCCGTTATCAAAAGATAAAATCTAGCCTTTCAGAGGGGATTTTGACATCATACTGTATTTTGTAATTATGTAGGAAGTGATGGATTTTAATTACCAGTTTTGTCTTCAGAGTGATATAACTTATATTTGTAATTGTAGTTTGGAAGTTCCCAATGTCATTATGTCTTTTGGAAGAGAGATGATGGCATCTTGAATTATGCCCACAATTTACTCAATCTAATCTTTTTACTTAAAATGACTCCATTATGCAAATGAACTTCTCTAGTTGAGTCAGATCGCACCCCCTCCGTCACTAATTTCCCTAACCCCTGCCACTAACATCCACAGACAAAAGCATTTTTATAGGCAGTTGGAGGCTTCCTGTTCTCCCCTGTCTCTCTTCTTCAAGTGGAACTTGCATTCCATCAGAAAATGAAGTCCAAGTGAAATTTTATCATTTCCTCCTCACCTGATGGGACAACGAGGAGACTTCCTTGACTCTTAAACAACGTGACTCTTGGCAAAAATCTTTTCTTCCCATCTGTAGCCACAGGAATTGTAGGTGACTAATAAATGCACTGCCCCACATGGGTCACGATAAAACAAGCTCCCTGAAACAAGCCTTGCAGATAAAAACACAGAGCATTCACCAGGTCTGGCCAGCTCACCCTGCGCAAATCACCAGATGCTAGACGGTGATAAAATAGATGAAACGAACATATTCCAGGACTTCTCTGATGCAAATTGTTTGTGACTTGAGGTGAGTAAGATTAATTGCCAAGTAATGTTTTCAGTAACTGTGCCAGTGGCTCTGACAGACGACACAGGCAAAAGTAAATCTGCTGCCTAAGGAAACCCAGCCAGCTGCATTTTGGAAGGAGTAAAGGTCAGGTCACATCGACAGAAAGTCTCCGCGGATATTAACACTAAACCGGACAGAGAGAGCTGGGCGCCAGCCACGCACTGTGAACTGCAGATAGCAGTTGTGTGTTTGGCACCAACATATGAGGTCCCCGAGATTCAAGAAGTGTGGGAGAAGATCAGCGAGAGAAAAAAGTTATACTCTCAGCCAGCAAGAGTATCATCAACCACAGTAACAATCCAAAAAACAAACAAATGAACAAAAGCCCCAAAAGGTATCCTGACAGTGTACTATTTTGCCAGCGAGGAGCTGCAGGCATGTGTTTTGAATTTTCTGTCATTTTATTTGTAGAAAGATTTGGAAGCAGGATTATTTTATTGAAATGTAACGCTGGATCGAGAAAAGCCCATTTCAAGAGGGAATAGAGGGTTGGAGGGAAGGGCTTCATCCGGTCAGCGTTCGGGTAGCCAGATCTGGAGAGTGGACGGCGGACATCCTGATGGTAACTGGAGAATTCCGGACGACCCGACTCGCGGCTGGCCACGGGGTGCAGAAGTCAAGAGCCGGCAGAGCAGCCGACGCCCCCTACGGTTCCGAGTACTGCGCTTCCCGGCAGGCCCGCGGTGACCCCAGTGTGAACGTGCTCCGGCCCCGGGGCGTTTGCTGACAGCAGGGAAACGAGATATTGCAGACACATCCTTGACAGCAAGTTTTCCCTCTCTGAGTCATGAAAAGCTGATTCAAACCAACCACCGTGACCAAGCATGGAGATGCTCTCCAGCCATCTGGCTGGCCGGGGCCTCGCCCAGGAAGCCGCCTCTGCCCCAGGACTGCATCTGTCCCGGATCGGTGCTCCCCAGGAGGACACTGTGAGGGAGTCACATCCTGACTCCGCTCTGGATCCGGGCGGGAGCGTGGCGGCTGTGGGAAGTGTGTCGCTCTGGCAGCAGCATCGGGCTTCCGGAGTCAGTATCTTACACACAGCAGGATGTCAGTACATTCTTAATAAATGAGAGAACGGGGCGGCGGATGGGGGTCTCTGCTCTTCAAGTCGCAGCCCAAGCTCTGCACGTCCCTCGGTTGGCCCCTCTGCCCCCGTGTGCCTTGATCTATGCTGTTCCATATGCTGGGCATGTCCCTCCTCTCTCCCACCCCTGGCAAATGGCTGCTCCGGGGCAGCCTCCTCCTAGAAGGCTCCGGGCTGGCTGCTTCCCTGTCCCCCTCCCACACATGGCCCTCAATCATCTCACAGCCCCCTGCACAAACCCCGAGCGTGTGAGTGTCTTGCTCACTAGGCTGAGCTTCCAGGAGCACGGCTGCATCCTGCAGAGTTCAGATTTATTCATGCTGTGTATCTGGCATGGAACTGCTCATGATGTTAATATATAGCATAGATCACAAGCTATGTTAGAGGGTGACAATATGCCCCCGGGGCAGGTAGGTTTATCACCCCCGTTTTACAAATGAGGCACAACAAGGTGGAGCAACTGGTTGAAGTTTGCCTGGATAGTAAGTGGTCCATTCAAGGCCTGTGGCTGCCCAGAAAGGGCCACATCCTAAGCTGGCACCTGTGAACACACTGCCTTACATGGACCATGAAGATGCGATTACATGAAGGATCTCAAGACGGGAGGTGATCCTGGATGATCCGGGTGGGTCCAATATAATCCCCAGGGAGAAGCCGGGAGGGTCAGGGTCAGAGGAGCTGTGACCACGGAAGCAGAAGTTGGAGAGAGACGGGGGTTTGAAGAGGGAGGAAGACGTTGGGAGCCAGGGGATGCAGACAGCCCCTGCAGGCTGGACCAGGCAGGAGACAGAGCCCCCGCCAAAACCTCCAAGAGCAGCGTGGCCCTGCCAACATCTTGATTTTCGGATTTATGGCCTCCTGAACTGTAAGATGATACGTTTGCATCATTGATGCCACTAAGTCTATGGTGACTTGTTACAGCAAACCACAGGAAACTCACACAGTGCCCTCAAACTGGAAACCAGGCAGCCACACTGGTGGGCGGGGGGACGGCCGGGGGGGGTGACGGCATGTGCTGCACCTGCAAAGGGGAGTAATAAAGGCCTGTCCTAAGAAGACACCTGGTGTCGAGGACTGGCAGGCTGGGGCCTTCCGTGTCCCCCGTTCCCCAAGGCAGTCTGCGTGGTGACGGGAAGGGCTGAGCAGGGACCATCAGAGGTAGACTGAAAGCCAGGGAGTCACAAGCCTGAGGTGGCCCCCAAGGCTGGTCCCCATGCTGTGGCTTCCAGGAACTCTGAGCAGCCTGCCCGAGGAAGCCCTCTGCACCAAAGCACACTGTTACCCACAGTCCGAGGCCACTACGGGCAGCTGCCCACCGAGACAGACCACCACGCCCCAGGCAAAGGCCTCCCCCGTGCTGGGCAGTGGGGGGTGGAAGAGAGAAGAGCTGAACCAGGAGCTCCTGGGCAGCCCCCTCCGCAGGGAGGGGACACAGCTCCCGGGCAGGCAGGCCTCCAGCCTCAGCCTCGGCCACAAGGGTCGTGAGAGTTCAAGGCAGGTGACTTCCTGTGGCTCTTGCTTTCGGGAAGCTCTGTCTGGGCTGGGTTGCCAGTCTGCCCGCCTGTCTGCTGCTCTCTCTCTCTCTGGTCAGGCAGTTTGAGGACTAGTCCAATGAGATAATAAATACCAGCCTCGGTCACCATGAATCAGAGGCACACGGCCAGCTGAGTCACACGGTGCCGGTGGCTCAGACGGGACTGCCAAGTTCCATCTGACCTCACTTTGGAAACGGGGCCAGATGTGCTAACGCAGCAGGGCAGTAACGACACATTTCACTCCAAAGGCTCCGAGCGCTGGGCGTGCTCTGGCCGGGGAACGTCCTTGGAAAGGAGCATTGTAACGGCCCCTGTAACCCAAGAAGGGGAGATTACTGCCTTTGGAGAAGGGCCGAGAAGGGGACGGCCACAGGGATGCATGAAACCCTGAGGATCTGGCCTGCAGCAGTGGCCACGCCCTCAAAGTGACCTCACTTGGCTGAAAGGTGTCTGAAGTCACTAAACCATACAGAGCCTGTGCAACATTTAACATGTGTGCAGTGAGTGCCTACTTAGCGCTTGTCATTGCAACGGGGTCCCCCTGCCCCCTGCTTTGCTGAGAGGGCCTCAAGGCCCCTCATCCCACTTGCCTGAGCATGTCCACGAATCCAAGGAGACGGGAGGAACTCAGAGGGTCGGACACGCAGAGCTGCTCTGGCCCCTGCTCCCCATGACCCGGCTGCTCCCCATGACCCGGCTGCTCCCCGTGACCCGGCTGCTCCCCTCTCCCCGCAAGCTCCCTGAGCAGGGGCATCGTGGGCTGGCAGGGCTGTGGGCTCCCCAGGGAGACTCAGCCTCATAAACACCGGCCTGTCCTCCAGGCTTGGCTGACGCTTTCACATCACATCTCAAACCCAGGCTTCACGGTTTAGTCGTCATTCTCGGCTCTAGTTTACCTCCCTCCCCACTCCTAGAACCAAAACCTCGCCAGGAAAGCCAGCAAAGGTCAGGATCGGGTTTCCCTCCCGCAGAGATCCTGCCTGTGCTTGCCTGGGCCGGGGCTAGGCTACTGCTATAGCCTTGTCAGGGCTGAGGTCCCTGCTGCAGCCAGCAGGAGGGGGGAGTGAGCCAAGGCCACATGGCCAGGAGGGACAGAGAGTGCACCGCTAGGTAGCCTGGGCCCGGCCCCGCTCTTGGAAACGCTCTCCACGGATTCACAGCCACAAGCCGGAGCTGCAGACAGGTACCAGATCCCAGTGGCTCTGGGGTGACGAGGCCTTGGGCCCAGGGTTCGGGCCTGGGGTCTGTTCCCGGAAGGTGGGGCACGGAGGGGAGGTACATGCGGGCGGCCGGTTCTTCCCTCTTTTGCATCTGAGCTTCTGCCTAATTGCAGAGCTTTGGGGGAACTCTGAGACCTCACTCCTGGAGTGACTGTGCGCTGTGGGAGGTGCACATGGCACTGGGTGACGGTGACCTGGGGTCAAATCCCAGCCTGGAGACCTGCGGAAACTGATGCTGGTCTCGGAGCTTGAGCGTTCCCTTCCATGAAACCGTAGTCGTCCCTGCTTCCGGGAGGCTGCTGGAGGGTGGAACAGACCAAACGTGCCAGGCGCCCAGCGTGAGCCGGTGAAATGGCGAACAGACGGTCTCTCGTTGACTCTGCCACCTGCCTCCCCGTCCAAGAGCTACTGGCTGTTCCCAGTCCCCTCCCCCCATCACAGACCTGCCGGTGTGTCGCGTGCAATCCGGGGCCTTCCCCATGGAGCCCTTGGCCCTGCCCCCTCCAGTGACTCCCTGGCAGCCTCAGTCCTTGGTTGGGGTCCTTGTTTGAGCACAAAGGAGCATTACCACAGCCTGAGTGGGGGTGGCCAGTTCTGTCTGTCTGTCTGTCTGACTACACGCTAAGCTATCTGAGGGCAGGCGTCACGGCTGACTCACCGTGTCATCCCATGGGCATACGATAGGTGCTCATGCGTCTCTCGTTACACTGTGTCCAGCACCTCCCAGGCACCAATCACTCCCAACTGAGCACTCTGGATGCCGTGTGGACGGTGCCCCCCAGGGGTGAGCGTGCCCCCCCCCCAGTCCCACCGCTGGGGCCTGCCAGTGCCTCTGCCAGCGTCAAGCAGGTGGAGGCCACATACCTGGTCCCCAGAGAGTGACGCACTGCTGCTCGTGGGTCTGGCAGATGCCGTTGTAGCAGTAGCCATCCACCCCCTGACACGGGTGCCCGTCGTGCAGGTACACGTTGGCTGGGCAGTGGGGACCGGCCCCCGTGCAGAACTCCGGGAGGTCGCAGGAGTTGCTGGAGCCCCTGCACGCTGTCCCCGCAGGCTTCAGCTGGAAGGAGAGGGCCGTTTACAGCACGTGCACCCGGGACAGGCAGCAGCAGCTCCCGGGGCGGGGTGGGGGTGGGGCTTGCCCAAAGGGAAGGTTCGAAGGAGTCCCTTTCACAGCAGAGAGCACTCAGTGGCTCTGGGGTTCACCTTCCTACTCTAAGAGGGGTGGCTCCACCAAGAGCAGCCTCTTTTTAATGTCATGCACCGTGAGGGTTTTCTGAGGAGCAGACGTGCCGGCCCTGGCACCTGTCACTTTGGAGGAAGGAAAGCGAGGAGCGTTGGTGCTAGGCTGGCTAACCTTAAGAAAGAGGTCTCTGGTTGTCAGCACCATCACACGGTCAAAGGTGACATGTGTACTCAGAGTGTTAGCCTCTGTGGGCAAGTTAACAAAAATAATTTCGAGGGTGCAATCACAATAGAAATTTCACTTTGTCATCAAATCACAGAACAGGAACCCTCTCTCTTTAGCACTTGTGGGGAGAACTAAAGAAGAACAAGGGGGAGGTACAGGGTGCTAGAAGCCATCTGACCAACACCTCTGCTTCTTGTGGCTGAAGAAACTAAGGCTCAGAGCGGCTTCCCTGAGGCTACACAAGGAAGAGACTGAGACTTGCCCAAGTCCTGGGCTTGGTTCCCTGAATACTCCTCCAAGGCAATGAGATAATAACCCTGCCGACTTCTGGAAGGTCTGGAAGTTGAAAGGAACTGTTTAAAAGCTGTAACATAAAAGTGGATCAGGCCCAGGCATTACCACCTGGTCCTCCCTCCCTCCTTCCCTGGTGAACCTCTGCGGGCCTCCCCCGACCCCAGTCGTAAGCTCAGCCTTCCTCCCTCCAACCCCTTCTAGCCACCTTCTCCCGCCAGTTGCAGGGAGCACCTGCTGCTTATAACACTCCCCATCAGTTAATCACCATCAGGAAGGGGAAGGAGGGCATTCTAAAGCTGAGCATAAAACGTTACAATGCGCTTCCAAATTGCCATGCTTGCATGGGGCAGCTATGAGGGAGTTTCTACTTACAGTGGAATGCCAAGATCAATTGCTTAATTAAAAAGAAATAAAACTCCGCCCTTGGAACCTTCGAATCCAAAGCTCAGGCTTCTACTCTGTCAGATATTAGCTCTGAATAATGAGACACACACAGAATTGCCAAAACAAATGCAGTCTCAGCAGCAGAAATGGCAAGAGCATAAAACTGCCACTCTTGGCCGGGCTGGGTCAGCCGGCACCCTCTCTCGGGAGGACATTAAGATCAAGTTGTTTACACAAAAGCCCTGGAACAAGCCGCGTGGTTTCTCAGCCCAGCAGGCAGGGGCTCCTGGGATCAAGAGGATGGACCGGGGTGAGGCTGAGTGACAGCGGGTGGGGACTGTTCACACCTCGCTCCTCCTGTTAGCACGGTAGGACCACGGGTGCCTCCGAGAGCAGAAATGGAACATTTGATGCTGAGCTAGAATTTTGCGGTTGGATGAGTTTTCGGCCCATAAATAAATAATGTCTCGCAGATGACCGGCAATTAAAGTGTGCATTCCACCTGAAGATTGGAAGATGAAAAATAAGGGGTGGATATACCAGCTTGTGTGAGGAGGAGGGATGGTTTGCACGGGGGTGAGTGCTGGGAAATCGTCCGGCCACATTGCTTGCCCTGCATCAGATTTGAACCTCCCGCACCTGTCGGTGACCTTGGGGTCAAGTCACAGCCCCGGTGAACTCACCTGACAGTCCTCGCAGCACAGCCCATGCGCGCACACGGCGTCCGGCTTCAGGGTGCAGGTGGTGGCGTTGCAGCAGCGATTCACGCATTCCTGGAGGCGGCAAGGGGACACAGAGAGAGCCACTACTCACTGCATGCTAATGCCACACTTTAAATGACTGCAGAAGGGAAGAGAGACCAAGAGGCCCCAGCTCCTGAACTGAACACCTGCGTGCCTAAGGACTATCTTCGCCGGTAAGCAAGCAAAGCTTCTGGTAAGTGTGTATGAACCACTGGGCCTGCGGGGCCCTGGGAAGAGTCGGTAGCACACGAGCCTTTGTGCAAGAGCCTTCGGTCAGCAGCAGAGGGGTGTCTGCGCAGGTCTCGTTGCAATGAACTGCATCAGGGTCCCCGGAGGACTTTGAAATTGCTTATTCAGATATATATATACACACATAGATGCATACGATCTTTACTCTTCAAAAACTAACCCTTTTGATCCAGAAAATGAAGTCAAGTCAGTTCTGTTCGAACTACAGTTCCCTGCAGTACAACTAAATCACTGTGGATGAGACCCTTGCTTGGCACGGGTCGGCTGTCTGGCCTGACAAGGCCCCTAAGGATCGGAAATGGACACTGCCGTGACCAAGTGGCTGGAAGGAGGTCTGCTGTGCCCACTGGCTTGCGAGGGATTTAAAAAGATTAAACCTTAGATGGATTGTCTTCTCTGAAACAGCAGTTTCAGAGAGAGGGAGAGAAACAGCAGGGAGAGAAAATTAACTCCTTTATTATGGTGCGCTTTTGCAAGGACCCAGTTTTCCCTAACAAAAAGAAATGAGAGACTGACATCTTCGGCTTAGCTCTCAATGCAAGGCCCACACACATTTATCTTGTGAATTTATGAGGTCCGTATATTTTAGAGCATTCCACTAACTTGGTGTTTACACGTTTTAGAAGAAACAGTGATTATTGAAAGATGGAATGGTTCACAGAGTTTTTAATATGGCTTAATTTATTACTGTCCTTTTATTCAATATATGATGTACTCTGAAAAACGTATATGCTATTGGGAATGGTGAAGCTAATCATATGCTAAGTTAGTAGCATAATACTTGACTCCTGAAAGCCATATTTTTTGAATGGTTTTATCATTCAAAAATTTTGAATTTATTTATATCATAAATGCAATTAATAAGATTTTGTCAACAATTCAGAAGATTTACGGCAAACTGAGACACCCAAACTCTGCTCTGTGTAAAACTCTATGAATTATGCTATCATCCGCTTTACCATTTGCTCCTATCAAACACACTTCCAAAGTCATTACATTTTAGAATTGTTTGAGGACTTTATAAACATCCGGGATGTGTAATATATACAATAAGATAAAACTGCCAACCAGAAGTCATAGCTATAACTTTCAGGATAGTAAGAGTTTCTAACTCACAGACTTACAAAATTCTAAAATAGTTTAGGAACTTGTTTAGTTTTTTTTCAAGAAGGCCATGAATTGCATTTTTCATCAATGCCATCAAATGCACAGTTATGCTGTTCTGCTTCTTTGGCTCTACTGAGGACACATTTGCCAAATTGCAGATTTCCTTGAAAATCTATGTTAAATCAGACATCCTAAATCTGGGTCCCAAAATTCTTTAAGAACTATCTCCCCTTCCCCCTCAAATCACCAACTAATATAAGCAGCATCTCCAATGGAAATTCCGCCAAGCAGAATGGCTTTGACTTCAAAGGGGATTGATAATGTGAGGAAGATAACTAGGTTTAAAAGATATTTGCAAGCTACTGGCATCCTACTGACTTTAAACAAGGAGATAAGGCTGCCTTCCCGATGCTGTTAGCTAGAAGAATGAGTGAGTTGTCAGGATTTCCTTATGTTGATATAAATTCACCGCCCTGTCCGGGGAGGCTTCGGCAATCACTTGCTTTTAAACTACCCAGAGTCTATTTCTTCTGCAGTACCATATTTCTCAGAAGAGACAAATTCTTCATCTGGTGATACATTTATTATTTTAGTACTCAATAGAGAAGTCTGGCAGAGCCGATGAATACTAAGTCTCCAAAGAAGAAAGAATAATGAAACCATTAGAGAATTCTCTGCAAAGCTCTAATTGTCATTCTCCTGTTGTAGGTAGCAGGCATAGCTTCCTAATCACAATGAACTGGGATAAAAAATTATAATGCTTTCTTCTTGAAAATGAAGCAGATGATTTCTGGGAGCGAGGGAGAAGCTGCACCCTGCCGGGTGCTGACCGCGGCTGTTCCAAGGCCCTGCACGCACTGCTCTCTGGTGCGCGGAGTCCCTCTGTGGGCCAGGACACGCACGCGCCAATCTCATGCACAGGCGTGGCAGATGTCACCGGGGCCAGAGCAGGGGGATAGGCAGGGGGATAAAGAGCCCAGACTTGCAGGTATGGCTGAGAGTCCTGCTCAAAGCAGCCTGGAGTTGGGAAATGGGCTGTCAGACCAGCCAGACACGACATGAGCTTGAACTTTGAACAGCAAAACATAAAAAGCAATGCAGAAGCCCCATCCATTGTATAGACTAAAGGTTGTAAAATAAAAAAAATAAAAAAATAAAAAAAAAAAAGGCTTGTCCCTGACTTTGAAAGGTTTATTGGAAGGAAGAAATTTAGATGAAGGGAATGAGAGTTCTCTTCAAATATTAAGAACTTACCCAGGAAATGAGGACTTCAACCACAGAAGAACAAAGTGGGGACTTACATGCAGGTAGGATTTGGCTCCACATAAGGCAGGCATTTGTGATAATCAAGGCTACCCTACAATGCAACATGCTACCTGGGGAGACAGGAAGTACCCTGTCAAAGCCACATGATTCCTTCATGGAGATAAAAGAGGGGATCAGAACCTGAGTGGCTGGCAAATTTTAGGAACTCAAGCATTTTATGACATTGATGCTGGCAGTGATGGGGTTAATGGTCATCGTGGTGATGGTAGCTATGGAGATGGTGGTGGTTGTGATGGTGTTAGAGGTAGGGCTAGTAGTGACTCCGGTACGGTGGTAGGTAGTGGGGGTGGTGGTGATGATCATTATGGACATAACTAGTAACATTAACAATGGTGGCGGTGATGGTGGGTGGTCCAGGTGGTGGTAATGATTGTGGAGATGGTAACTGGGGTAACATTAACAATGGTGGTGATGGTGGTGGGTGGTCCAGGTAGTGGCGATGATTGTGGAGATGGTAACCATGGTAACACTAATAATGGTGGTGAGGATGGTGGCAGTGATGCTGCTGGTGGCACACAGAGCAAATGACAGCTAATGGAGTCATCCCAAACCCGCTAGTTCATGGTTCCATGAAGAGCTGTCAAATTTATTTAGATTAACAAACAATAAGGGGTTCATATCAAAGACAAACTGTTTTAAGTCACTGTGGCCTCTCATGAGAAATATGGGTAATTTAAACTAATTTCACATTTTTCTTTAACTAATTAACAAGGCCTCCAAGGAATTTCCCCTTTGCATACCCCAATCCATGATGGGTTTAAGTGTTCCTCCACCAATCTTAAAAAGAATTTCTGTGACCGTATAATTAGGAGTCACCCTTATACAGAAACCCCTCCCTGCTCATTGTGAGCAGAATTAAACATCTCTGCAGACAATGTCATTGTCACAGATAAGTTTGATAAAACTACTTCTATACTCCCCTACCCCCACCCAATATTTATATACCTCCAACATTCTTGCACAAACTGTCAGATGAAGATCATTCCTGCAGGTATGGAAAACCTCAGAGACTTGGAGATGGGGACATGATGAGGGTTCTATTAACCACTTGTTTTTTTGATGAACACAGGAATATATGGGGTGCTCCAGGGCCTCAGTACAATTTCCCTTCCATCCTAGAATCCATCTTCCAGAGTGGCCCTCTGAGACAGGTGCTTCCCAAGCACTCATTAAGCTTACCTGTGAATTTAGCTAACCTGCCTTGAACTTGCTCTACCATTTCAGCTTGCACAAGCTCTTGGGGAAGGATTCCCACGTGCAGACTGCCTGCTCTACACACTACTCGCTTTGATTTATTCTAAACACAACCCCCCTCCAAACTTCAGGGGGGTTTTACCTGTTTTACCAGGAGGTCTAACTGAGTCCTCTCTCTTTTTCCTTCTCAAGATTATTCAGAGATTAAAAAATGGCTGTTATAACTTTTATGTTGATTAACTTTATCTTGGGCCTAATAGAAACAGGAACATTTCCTGCTATTGGCTGGAGAAGAGGGTGAAATAAGCCCTGTGCTGGGGAGACCCGTCCCCTGGTTCTGCTTATTGCTTCCGAAAGCTCCGAGCGGGAGCAGCCGCCGCCGAGGCTCCGGCTGTGCACGTGGAGGCGGCTGCGGCAGCCAGGCAGCATCGCCACTCGGGAGGAAGCTCTTGGTTAAAAACGAATGCTGCTTATTCAAATTCCCCTCTAGGCGCACGCCTTGCAAAGAGAAAGAAATGGTGCTTATTAGCTATTTGAAGCTAGAACGCCAAGGCTTTCTCCTCTGCCGAACTCCAAGCTAAATGCTTTTTGATTGTTCTTATCCTCAGCTTGCCAAGGATGTTGCACCCTTCAACAGAGAAGATTTTTTTTTTTTATCTTTTTAAACCAAGTAAAACAACTTATGCCATGCGATGGTTAAAATGCCAGAAAGCCACCCTAGCTTGTGGGGCTTCTTCAAGGTGGCCATACAGGAGTTTTCCCTCCCACGTTTCTAGAACTTTCATCCTGCTGTACAATTCCCCCAAGTTCTCACCGACATCCGGGCTGTGGCTATCTTACCTCTGGCTCCCCACAGTCACATTCCTCTCCTTCCTCCACGTATCCATTCCCACACTTCTGGCCCCCGAAAGACTGCTTGACTTCCGGCAGGTTAAAGAGGCACATGCCCATGCCTTTCTCCAGGCTGGTCTCCAGGTCCCTCCTGCTGCAGCTGCTGAACACCATGGGGAACGGGTACCTGAGAGAGGACAGCATGAAACAGTGAGTCGTCGGGGTGCGGAATGGCCTTTCCTTTCCTTCTTGTGCCCACTAGCTGCATCTGCCCAGTTGTCCACTGCTAGTCCCAATGAACACGCTCAAACACGCAGTGTGAAATGAGGCATGTTCAGCTACAACCCAACATTCACTCCTGTGTGATGCCAACATCCCTGATGAAGAAGTGCTTCATCAAAAAAGAAATGATCATTTGATGGCTTCCAAATCAGCAAGTTTATACAACCTCATCACCTACACTTTTATTAGTGCTGGGTGAAGGGCTGCAACAGATATGAATTCTTAGGATCTATAGCTTGTAATGTGAACACACACCATTGTCCCTTCCAGAAGGACAAAGAAGAAAAAAGTACAAACGACTGTGCTTATAAGCTCCATGGCTCCAGGGACACACGCTTCCGCCGTAGCTCAGGGCCGGCGACACCGGCAGTCAGTCTGTGAGGTTTAAATCACTGCCTTCCCCTAGCACAGCTGTGAGAGAGTGGAGGTGGTCTGGAAATGCAGGTCTCGCTCTGGCCTCCAAATCCCAGGGCATTCTGGGGCTGTGGCAGAGGCAGCCAACTTCCCAGCAAAGTTACACTCCCCCTCTCTCCAGTCTAGCAAGACAGCCCGGCCTCACTCACCTGGGTGGGCTGCATGACTAAATCTTGACAATGGCACACAAGCAAAAGTAACGTAGGTCACATTTTGTTGGTGGCATTTAAGAGGGTATTCCTTCTTCGTGTCCTTTCTTTCCCCTTCTGCTAGCTGAGATCAGCAAATGCCACGGTTTTAGGAGATGGAGGAGCCAGACGTGGCATCCGGTCCTGACTTACTCTGAGCAGGGAAACCACCTGCAGCCTAGAGCCCCAGAGAGTCACACGGAAGGAAAACATGCTTCTCAAATGGCAAGCCACTGAGAATTTGGGGTCTGTTTCCTACGGCAGCTAGCGTTACCCAACACATACAGTGTGTCTCACTCTTTCTCTCTCTCTTTCTCTCTTTTTTTCTACAAATGCAAATGCCTCAAATGTCTTGAGGCAGCAAGGATTATCAACTGAGAAGGTTTTATCACTTAGTGAGGAAGCAGGGCCTGCTGCCCGCAAGCCCGAGTGTCCTCTCCCCGTCCCCATGAGATGTTTATAGGATGACGTCACAACTCGATCTCAATCAACTGTCCAAACCAATGCAAGCTGCTGCGTTTCCCTACAGACGGCAGACTAGCCACCATGCAACGACCGAGTGTGGCATCCACAGGACTGCCACTGCTCCAAGTCAGCCACCCAGGAGAGGGCAGGGAGGGAAGACACCGGGCAAGGTCAGGTGCACCGTCCTGCTTCCAAGGTGCCGACTCTGCCTTTGAACTTCTGATGGTGGCAGATCACACTTATTTGGGTGGTATATTCACAACTCCCTCATTTACTCATTTATTCACTCACTCACTTGAGAAACAGTTCGAGTGGCTACTATAGTCAAAGCTGAAGAGGATCCCAAGATATTAGAATTCAAACATGGCCTGTGCCTGGCCCACTGCCTCCTTCCAAGCCCCTTCCTTATCGGACAAGCCCACCCTTCCGTCCCACGGCCCCGCCAGCCACTCTCCAAGGCCCTGATGTGACTCCACTCCTCCAGAAACTGCAAACCCTCAGAGGTGCTATTCTTCATGCCACAGAAATGGAGTCTACCCAGTAATGTTCCAGTCCAAGGCTTTATCCTGAGTTATTGTTCCTTTCCCATATTGCCATATTCTGGCCACAGAATTATAAGTTCCCAAGAAGAGTAATTAGCTAAAAATATATACATATATATATATTTTTTATATAACTATTGAGTACCTGCTTTGAGCTAGGCAACATGGTGGTGCTTTCTCATAGTAACAGTTTGTCTTTTGTACTTTTTAAATTTAAATTTCAAAACAATCCACTGAGACAGGAATTATCATCCCACTTACAAACGAGGTGAAGGGACTCATTTGGGAGTTCAGTTAGGGAGAGGCAGAAAACAGATGTGACTAAATCTTTTGATTCCAAAGTTCAGTCATTGAAGAACCATTTTCTTTATTGCCGAGGCCAGTTCAGCATGGGGTTACCTGCAGTGCACTGCTACAGCACAGCAAGTGATCAGCAAACCTGGCGATCAGCAAACCCTGCCACACGATTCTAATCCAGGGGACAAATCATTCCATGGTCCAACGTACACCCCCCGTCCAGTGGTTCCCAAAGCGTGGTCCCAGGAGCAGCAGCACCAGCAACCTACTAGAAATGCACATTCTCAGGCCCCACCCAGACCCACTGAGTCAGAAAAACTCAGGGCAGGAGCCCAGCAACTGGCGTTTTAACAAGCCGTCCAGGCGATTTGCTAATTACATTGACGTAAAATTTACATAACATAAAACTCAACCCTTTAAGCCATTCACAGTGTGGTGTAACCATCACTGCCACCTAATTCAGAATGTTTTCTTTACCCTCGAACAAATGCCAAACGCATAAAGTAGTCCCCCTCGTTTTCCCTTCTCTCTAGCCCTTGCCCAACACTAATCTGCTTCCTGTCTTTATGCATTTGCCTGTCCTGTTCGTTGCATGTACGTGGAATCGTGTGCCACGGGGCCTTTGTGTTGCCTCCTTTCACTTAGCCGCGTGGTCTCACGCTTCCTTCACGCCGTACCACGTAGTGGTACTTCATTCCTTTCTGCTGAATAACGTTCCCTGGTAAGCAACACTGTGCCACGATCTGTTTATCCGCTCAGCCCTGATGGTCAGGGTGACCCTCTTTAGCCATGAACGTCTGGGAACAACTCGCCCAGATTTAAAATTCAAATGTTGTTGTAGCAGCAGTACAGGCACAAACCCACGCCTGCTTCTGTCATAACAATGAGAAACGCGCTCTAGACTCATCACGGGCCACCTCTCGTGCACTTCCCTTGGAGACGGTTCTGTTCTACACCGTGCTTTCATTTTCTAAGAAAAGCCCAGCGCACAGCATTGACCGCACAGCCTGATTTTAGTCCTGTGCTGAAAACCCCATGAGTATCTGTCTCATAAAGCCGAATTCAGATCAGAAATGAACTTTCAAATACCCAAGTGTTACAGGAAACTGACAAACCCGCACGCTGCATGCCAATGATGGTGCGGGGAACATCCTGGCTGCGAACTGAGTCATGGGTCCCTTCCACCAGCTTCAAAATCCAGGGCATGGTAATTCTGCCTCCCCCGTGCCCGTATTCTTTCTTTCTTATTCAATAGCTTTATTCCCTGGAGCGTCCCTGATGAGAACACGGAACTGGGGCACGTAGTCGCTCATGACATCGAAGATGTCGAACGGCCCCTGGTCTGCAGTTAAAAAGACAAGCCTCAGTTTCTTCTGCAGATGTTGGCAAGTTCATCACCACACACTTTTCAATATGTCTAATAAATTACCCCAAATATGCCAGGACAGCAGCTAATTGAACTGACAGATAGCAACTATCTAGGGCAAGGCAATAAAATTGGGGAATTATTCAGAAAAGCAGCGCTTTAGCAGGATACTTTCCCCTCGGCACAAGCAAGTGTTAACATGATCACACCTGGAGCCCAGAACAAAGTGCTGCTTTCAGCTCAGGGGCAGAGGATTCATCTCAGATGCCCCGGCAGGGTGGCCACGGCCCCTGCTTGGATGTGACCCCTTTTGTCAGACACGTTTGCCTTTTTCTCTAATATTTAACTACCAGGGACACTCAGGGCAAGTTTCCCTCGCTGGATGCAAGGTTAGAAATAAAAAGAGGATGAAATAGACAGCTGGTGATTTTGGGGAAAAACACACCACTTTTAAAAAGAGGAATGCCACTTACAGCTTCCCACCGTAAATGCAGTCATGGCTTCATATTTTAGCCGTCACAAAGCTGCCAAGTAAAACATTATTAGGGGTTACTTCTACTTTGACAAATCTGCAGTCAGAAAATTCTTTTCTTGTAGGAGCCCACTGTGTGTCTCACCGTCATGTTCTTGGGGTGAATCACACTAAACCCATTTATCAGCCCTGACAGCAGAAGTCGCCCATTATCTGCCTTGCGGGGGCTCTCTGGGAGTCATTCGGAGACAACTGCTCTTCCTTTTGGAAATCAGGCATCCAAGGAAAGTAGCTGTAATCAGGCTGGGTTCAGAGGGGCTGCAGGTCACGGTCCCCGCTGCTTCCTGTGACTGCTGCCTCATTAATAACTGTGTGCCGAGTCCCCAGCTCTGAGCTCCGGGGCAGACATCCGTCTGGGCGCCAACTGCAGGGAGGGAATGGAAGTGACCTAGGAAGGAGGATGGAGCAGCCGGGGCAGCTGCTGAGAACAGCTCGGAGCCGCTGCGGCCGGCCGTGTGACAGGAAAAGCCAGCGTTGCAGGAAACCAGGGACGGGAAGCCACCCAGATTTCTCTGTTTAAATCGATAGGGGAGAAAAAAAACAAACCTTCAGGTCGTCCACAGCTGATAAATGATTAGACGGCAAAGGGCTAACTGGTTTTGGAAAATATGTTGCTGACATTCGGCTCCCGCTGGTTTCTTCCTGCAGACTGAAATGGAGTTTTATTTTTTCCTGACAGCAGAAGCCACAGATTCAACAGGCCAGGGAGGGGCTTCTCTACCTGGGCGCATGGGGCGGTGGAGACGTGAATCTGGAAACCTGCGTCTGAACACGCCCCGTCTCGGCACTTCATTAAGCCTCGGTTTGCACACCTGTAAAATGGAGATGACCACCAGTCCCTCGCACGCCGAGCAGGAGGATAGATGAGCTTCAGACCAAAACGTGAAAGTGTCTGGTTAACATTCGAGCGCCCTGAGACGCCAGCTGCCAGTGCTGACATGAAAACGATGTTTCTTTTTCTCATTTCCAGTTGCCACTTGGGCTATTTCGAATCTCTGTTCGCCAGTGTCTAGCACATTTTAGTGCTTAGAAACATTTTTGCTAGGGTGTAGGATTTATTATAAACTGTAGCCAAAATGTAGCAATCTTTAAACTGTAAAG